GTGTTTAAAGTGTTTTAAATCACAGTGGCATATTATTATGGCCTTGATTTGCAAAGACTTCAATAGTTATATGCTTGGGCTAGGCATATAAATGACTATTCTTTTATGTGTCCATTTAGCACCAATTCACTCAATCACTTTTGCAGAATGCATTATTTTTTTTGCGATTTCTGATCAAAACTGATCAAATTGCGGTTGACTTGTATAACCATGTTTCAACCAAAAGGTCATATCATGCATTAAGCAGAAGTAATGATGCAAGGGCTATTGCTCTTAAAATATTTACCTTAAAATATAAGGGCTATTGCTCTTAAAATATTTAAAATATTTTCAATCTTCACCATAAGTTTGCTTCATATGATGTAGCTGGGAAAGTTATCTTTGGTGGAAAACACTCTTCTTTATTTCCAGTAACCTTTAAAGGTACCATAAGGTTCCAATCAATCACCATATTCCTTCTCCTGATTCCATTCCTAAAAAATCTTTTATTCCTCTTTGTATAGAATACTATTATCATATATGAGTTTTACTAAAGATATCTTTCTCATTTTCTTAAGATTTGAGAAAATGAGACAAAATGCATTATAAATCTAGTTTGACCCGCTCTAGCAGCAAAGTTTGAGCCTCTCTCTAATGATTGCAAAGTTACACTTTTTCTCTTTTCTACAAATACTAACATAGCTGCTGCTCAAGCAAGCTATCAAATCTTTTTCTTAATAAAACTTAATTTACATATGACTCCTAATTTAGCTAAGTCAAGCTATTTTACTGTAAATTATCCTTTATGCTTAAAAAACTTTTATTCATCTAGTTTTTTCCTCGAATGATACTTTAGAATTCTCTTTCATTTTTATGATTTTCGATTTTGATTGATTTGGTTGCCTTCAGCCTTTGATATATATATATATATATATATATATATATATATATATATATATATATTATATATATATATATATATATATATATATATATATATATATATATATATATATATATATATATATATATATATATACAGACACACACACACATGTATGTATATATACATATATATATATATATGTGTGTATATATATACGTTCACTCAGACACATGTATATATATATATATATATATACATATATATACATATACACATATATATATATATATATATATATATATATATATATATATATATATATATATACACACATCTGTGTGTGTCTATATATATATATATATATATATATATATATATATATATATATATATATATATATATATATATATATATATATATATATATATATATATATATATATATATATATATATATATATAGACACACACAGATGTGTGTATATATAAATATATATATATATATATATATATATATATATATATATATTATTTTAAAACATCAAAAATACGATTTCTCTCAACACTTATAATTTTTTATTATTATAGAAATTTTCGCTGGATTTTAGATACCAGCTTCTTCAGCTTGTTAAATGTTACAGTAATTAGTAAACCGTTATAATTTAAATTAAAACGTTGCTATTGACGTCAGCGGTTGAATGGCTTCTTTTTTGCTGAAATTTAAAAAATGGCGTCCAAAACTTAGTTTTTACGTATTGACCCTCATCGAGATTAATCCCGCCATTTTTTGCAGAACACATGTTTTTTTGTATTTCTAGGGCTTCCCTAACTTTTCTTTCAAATTTTTTATTTTCTACTTTCAATGTTTTTGTTTGTTCCCAAATAATTTCTTTTTTGCAAAATGTTTTATGCAGAGCTAATGCAGATTGATGCTGCTTATTTTCATCAATGCTTTTTTGGTGTTGATGCATTCTTGTGTTTACTTTCATTTTTGTTTCGCCTACGTACACTTTTGAACAGTTGCATTTGATTATATATGTTCCTGGTTGACTGTTATTAGGTAATTTTGATTTATTCTTTGATGTTAACAGGGATCTTAAGTTTGGGTTTGATTTGAATACCGCTCTGTAACCAGCTTTTCGGAATATTTTCCTAAGTTTTGGCGAGAGACCGGGTACCCATGGTAAGGAAACTACAAGATAATTATTGATTTCAGATGGAATTGTAATTTTATTTTGTCTTTTGTGTTGAAACTGATGCGCAATATTCATCATTTGAGTTTTATCGTAACCATTTTCAATAAACACGTCGATTAGAAAATCTATTTCATTTTGCAAGTAAGACTTACTACAAATTGAGTAAGCTCGGTGGAGAAATCCTTTAAAAATAGAGTTCAAGATATTTGGATCATGATTTGAGTGTGGCTTAATTTGAATGTTAGTGATAGCATCTTTCCGATACACTTTGTATTCATACTTTCCTGTTTTTTTATTCATAATTTGTATATCCAGATAATTTAGTGTTCCTAACTCGTTTTCAACTTCAATTGTATACTGGATGGAAGGATGTTGTTGATTTAAAATGTATTGGAAATGTTTTGCTTGGTTGAGATCTGGAAACCTTGCGTGACTATCATCGACATATCTTAAGAACGATTTGAGTTTAATTGCAGGGTTGAAATTTAGTGCAATTTTAATTGCATTGTTTTCATGGAATTGTAGAAATGATTCTGCAAGAACGACCATGAACGAAAGTCCAATTGGACCCGAGTTTTCCATTATATGAATTTCATTGTTCCAATGAAAATAACATTGAAATAAACAAAGTTCTATAAGTTGTTTTATTTCAGGTATACTTAGTCTGGTTAATTTTTTATATGTTGTATTATTGTTTAATTTTTCTATAAGAACAAGGGTGGCTTCTTTTAAAGGAACCGACGGATACAGATTTACGACATCAAAAGATACCTGAACTTCATCTTTGTCAATTTTCCAAGATTCAGCTTTTTTAATAAAGTCAAAGGAATTTTTTAATCTTGTCAAGTTTTCATTCAAAACTGGCTGTATTATCTTAACTAAGAACTCAGATATTCCGTAGTTTGCTGTGCTGATTGTGGAGATAATTATTCTCATAGGATAGAATTTTTCAGGTTTGTGGGCTTTGATTACACCATACATACGAGGCGGGATGGGATCACTAGGATATATTTTTTCGTATTCCTCTTTCGAAAAACAGTTTCTTTTATTTAGTTTTGAAAGATATCTACGAATTTTAGCCGCGTAATTTGCAGGTTTACTAATTACTGTAACATTTAACAAGCTGAAGAAGCTGGTATCTAAAATCCAGCGAAAATTTCTATAATAATAAAAAATTATAAGTGTTGAGAGAAATCGTATTTTTGATGTTTTAAAATAATATATAAATATACTCTCACACAAGATGTTATCCTTTAAATCATATATAACAGCTAAATACGGAGCTGAAATCTACAAAAAAACTGAACAGTTAAAGTTATTAAAAAAATCTGTTGCTAAATCGAAAAACCAATACATCTTTTTACAAAAATGTGTAAAACATAAAATTATTCCGAAATCATTGCGAATTAACTCTCCGATAAAAAATAGAAGAGCAATAGGTATTATTAATCGTTTTAGATTTGAACTTTTAGTCAGCATAAAAAACGATTCTAGGAAACGATTCTTTAACCTTATGAATGACGTTAAAAATCTTCAACGTTCGCTTAAATATCACCTAGACGAAAAAGACTACATTAAATTAGAACAAATCACTGAAAAAGCTCGGGAGAATATGTTTATAAAGTCAAAAGAACGATTAGTGAAAAAATTTCTAATATTGCAAAATGAACGTGAAAATAAAAACGATAATGCCGAAAAAACAACAAATTATAAAAAGAATGCTGTCCTAAACTTATGCGATACCGACATTCCAGTAAGTCATAATAATTTTCTAAACCTCGGTCCACACTTTGTACCATCTTTAAAGTCGATACCATATATGGATATTATTACAGCCACGGAATCCTCTGCGTTAAAATTAGAATATAACAATAAAATTGAAAATGCCCAAGACCTAAGGAAAAATGTTTTAAGAGAACTAAAAACCGGAAAAAAATTAAATAATAATCTTACAAAAGAACAATGGAAAGCTTATAGAGAAATAAAAGAGGAAAAAAACGTTGACATATATCCATTCGACAAAGGGACAGGTTTTGTACGAATTGAACATTCAAAAGCCTTGGAGAAAATTCGCGAACAAATAGGCCCAACAAAAATAGTAAGTGAAGACCCTACTGCAAATTACGCGGCTAAAATTCGTAGATATCTTTCAAAACTAAATAAAAGAAACTGTTTTTTGAAAGAGGAATACGAAAAAATATATCCTAGTGATCCCATCCCGCCTCGTATGTATGGTGTAATCAAAGCCCACAAACCTGAAAAATTCTATCCTATGAGAATAATTATCTCCACAATCGGCACAGCAAACTACGGAATATCTGAGTTCTTAGTTAAGATAATACAGCCAGTTTTGAATGAAAACTTGACAAGATTAAAAAATTCCTTTGACTTTATTAAAAAAGCTGAATCTTGGAAAATTGACAAAGATGAAGTTCAGGTATCTTTTGATGTCCTAAATCTGTATCCGCCGGTTCCTTTAAAAGAAGCCACCCTTGTTCTTATAGAAAAATTAAACAATAATACAACATATAAAAAATTAACCAGACTAAGTATACCTGAAATAAAACAACTTATAGAACTTTGTTTATTTCAATGTTATTTTCATTGGAACAATGAAATTCATATAATGGAAAACTCGGGTCCAATTGGACTTTCGTTCATGGTCGTTCTTGCAGAATCATTTCTACAATTCCATGAAAACAATGCAATTAAAATTGCACTAAATTTCAACCCTGCAATTAAACTCAAATCGTTCTTAAGATATGTCAATGATAGTCACGCAAGGTTTCCAGATCTCAACCAAGCAAAACATTTCCAATACATTTTAAATCAACAACATCCTTCCATCCAGTATACAATTGAAGTTGAAAACGAGTTAGGAACACTAAATTATCTGGATATACAAATTATGAATAAAAAAACAGGAAAGTATGAATACAAAGTGTATCGGAAAGATGCTATCACTAACATTCAAATTAAGCCACACTCAAATCATGATCCAAATATCTTGAACTCTATTTTTAAAGGATTTCTCCACCGAGCTTACTCAATTTGTAGTAAGTCTTACTTGCAAAATGAAATAGATTTTCTAATCGACGTGTTTATTGAAAATGGTTACGATAAAACTCAAATGATGAATATTGCGCATCAGTTTCAACACAAAAGACAAAATAAAATTACAATTCCATCTGAAATCAATAATTATCCTGTAGTTTCCTTACCATGGGTACCCGGTCTCTCGCCAAAACTTAGGAAAATATTCCGAAAAGCTGGTTACAGAGCGGTATTCAAATCAAACCCAAACTTAAGATCCCTGTTAACATCAAAGAATAAATCAAAATTACCTAATAACAGTCAACCAGGAACATATATAATCAAATGCAACTGTTCAAAAGTGTACGTAGGCGAAACAAAAATGAAAGTAAACACAAGAATGCATCAACACCAAAAAAGCATTGATGAAAATAAGCAGCATCAATCTGCATTAGCTCTGCATAAAACATTTTGCAAAAAAGAAATTATTTGGGAACAAACAAAAACATTGAAAGTAGAAAATAAAAAATTTGAAAGAAAAGTTAGGGAAGCCCTAGAAATACAAAAAAACATGTGTTCTGCAAAAAATGGCGGGATTAATCTCGATGAGGGTCAATACGTAAAAACTAAGTTTTGGACGCCATTTTTTAAATTTCAGCAAAAAAGAAGCCATTCAACCGCTGACGTCAATAGCAACGTTTTAATTTAAATTATAACGGTTTACTAATTACTGTAACATTTAACAAGCTGAAGAAGCTGGTATCTAAAATCCAGCGAAAATTTCTATAATAATAAAAAATTATAAGTGTTGAGAGAAATCGTATTTTTGATGTTTTAAAATAATATATATATATATATATATATATATATATATATATATATATATATATATTTATATATACACACATCTGTGTGTGTCTATATATATATATATATATATATATATATATATATATATATATATATATATATATATATATATATATATATATATATATATATATATATATATATATATATATATATAGACACACACAGATGTGTGTATATATATATATATATATATATATATATATATATATATATATATATATATGTGTATATGTATATATATGTATATATATATATTTATATATATACGTGTGTCTGAGTGAACATATATATATACACACACATATATATATATATACATACATGTGTGTGTGTGTCTGTATATATATATATATATATATATATATATATAATATATATATAAATAAATATATATATATATTTGTTTATTTATATGTATATACGTGTGTGAGTAAATGTATATATACACACACATATATATATATATGATTATATATATATATATAATATATATATATATATATATATATGTCTATATACGTATATGTACACACATGTGTGTGTGTCTGTATATATATATATATATGTATATATATATATATATATATATATATATATAAACACACACACACACACATACATATATATATACAAACATATACAAATTTACCCACACATGTAATGAGTTTTTGCATAACAGTACCTGCATAAACTTGCTATCTTCATTACCAAGTTCAGCATAAAGAAAGGAAATCAAAGAACTATGAAACTGCTCATAAAATATTTTTTGAATGAATCCAAATTGATTTTTTAAAGGAGACTTCATAACACGTGATAATGAATCAGGTGTAGCTAGTTTCAACAATAACTTGCAGCCTTCTTCGAATATCTAAATTTAAGGGTCATTACCTTTTTAAACATTTTTTTTTACTAAAAATACAATTAAAAAAATATGTTGCACTAACTGTTAACTATTGAACAAATTGTTAACTGTTGCACTAACTGTTAACTGTTCTACAACTGTAATACAAACTGTTAACTGTTGCACAAATTTCAAGATTTTTGTTTTGGAGCAAAAAAAAGTGTTTTTTTTTAAAAACATATTAATCTCCCTAAAATCCAGAATGCTAGAGTGAAGGAGGAAGAGATTTTTTTTCATAGCTATTTCTCTCTTAACACTATAACTCCAAAACACAAATCTTGGCAAAAAAAAGACTGCAGCGCGAAGAAACAAATTAAATGTGTTGCTTCTAGGGATTCAAGTAGTTGATAGTACTTATATATTTACATTAGGTTATTACTTACATATTTGCATTAGGTTATTACTTATATATTTGCATCAGGTTATTACTTATATATTTGCATTAGGTTATTACTTATATATTTGCATTAGGTTATTACTTATATATTTGCATTAGGTTATTACTTATATATTTGCATCAGGTTATTACTTATATATTTGCATTAGGTTATTACTTATATATTTGCATTAGGTTATTACTTATATATTTGCATTAGGTTATTACTTATAATTACAAAAGTAAAATAAAACTTCTAATTACTTAAATAAAAACAGCTTTTGGGAATTTGGGAATAAAATGGTATACATATACAAAAGTTTTTAATAATAAAATAAAATACAAATTGTTAACAATATTTTTATTAATATTACAAATAAATATAGTAAAATACTCTATATGTAAATAAACTCAAAAGACTATTAACTAAATATTAACAATTAATAATATACTATTATTGTTAATATTATTAAAAGTTATACTTTCATATTATAGTTAAAATATAAAATAGAAACCTCAACAGAATCATTGTATATTTTCGAAAGTTTAAGAACAATAGATGCACATGTATCTTCAGTATATCCAATAAAAGAATCTGAAGGTCTGAACTCGTGACTAACAAAAAGTAAATTATAAGAAATTTCATTTATTTGGCTTTAAAATAAAAGCAAAAAAAACTCCTAATTCAAGTATAACAACAACAACAACAACAAGAAAAAAAAAAAAAAAAAAAAAAAAAAGGACTTAATACTTAAAATAATGTTAGTTTGATAAAGCTTTAAAGTATTTTGAGTTAGAAATAAACTTTACTTAAAAATAAATTAGGTAGTTATAATAATAAAAAGTAATAATAAAAATAATAATAAAAATAATAATAATAATAATAATAATAATAATAATAATATATATATATATATATATATATATATTTATATATATATATATATATATATACGTACACACAACTCATACTTTATTCTAACACAAAACTAATAGACAACAATAATAACAATAAAACATTTAAAACCAAATAATGTTTTATAAAATTATTACGTTGTAGATTTAACACACGAAAAATGAGTTGCCCATTCTTTAAGTTTTTCTACAACTTTTAATTTGTCTGGTGGCATTCCATTTGATAATGTTAAAAAGTGTTTCTCCAGTCTATTTATTAGAGGTATCGGAAAAGTATTATAAACATTAGCTCTATCTGCAATTACTATCAACCTAAAAAAAAAAGAAGAGAAAAACTCTTAAAACACATGTCATTTATGTCATTTTTGTATTATGATTAGTAAAGAAAATAATCAGTAAAGGTTAATCGGCTCTAAATAAAAAAATCAATTTGTTTTAAGTATACAAAAAGACTAGTGTACTTGTTATTTCTATAATAATATTCCATATATTAACATTCATCATAATTTTTTGAGCCTATATCTTTTATTATGCTATAAAAAGATATTTTTAGCTATTATATTTTAAAAAGCTTATATAATTTTTTACGCTTGTAACAAAATCACAATTGTAAATTTGATTGCGTTTCATTAAAATAGCTGGGGTTGGGTGAGTGACTAGGGCTTCATAAACATTGATACATCCTAAAGTAGATTTTTTTATTCAAAACATCATCATCATCACTGTCATCATCATCATCATCATCATCATCATCATCATCATCATCATCATCATCATCATCATCATCATCATCATCATCATCACTGTCATCATCATCATCACTGTCATCATCATCATCATCATCATCATCATCATCATCATCATCATCATCATCATCATCATCATCATCATCATCATCATCATCATAATCATCATCATCACCATTATCAAGCTTTAGCCTTTCTCTTTTATGCTGTTTCTCTAATATAAAAAGTCTTGAGCATTTTCTTTCTTTAACTAAAGCTCATACCATGTGTAATGTACTGTTTTTATGTTTTCTTACTTCTACCTTTAACATTTTCCCCTGAAGTTGATACATCTCTACATGCTGATACCCAACCACTTTAATCTGACAAACTTTGCTTGACACAACATTTTTCCTAATCTCTGCTCAAGATCATGGATCGCTTTGTTGTCTTGTTAGAATTACACCACACATTCATCTAATCATCTTCTAATTTGAAAAATACTACACCATATAAATAGTAAAATTTACACAAATATGTAAAAATATTGTATTCCAGCATCTAAATAAATAGCAAACACATATGTTTATATCTGCATATATCCATAATGCGTATGCATAAAAGCAAATCTTATCTAAGCTCCTGCATCCAAGCAGATATGGAAGTTTTTATTTCTTCTTTTTGGTTTTAAATCAAGCCTCATTCCATTCCATTTTTTTCACCTTCTTGTGCAGTTGTTATATTAAAATGTAACCATTTTTTTTTTATCTTTTTTATGAAAACATCTCTATTGAGAATAAAGATGTCATTAACTAAAGTCTGACATTACATCTCTAATTCATAGGTCTGATCTTATTACTTCTCCCAGAATAAGGCAGAATATGGCAGAGTTATTTGTAATCAACTTTTCCTCTAATTTGACTCTGGAATGTAATGGTCATACTTTTCCTGCCATTCCAGTTAAACAGATTAACCCATTGTTAGACATCCAAATCACTCCAGCTTACAATGCTAAAGTAAATTCTCAATTTTAATTTTTTATGGCTAACTACTACTGTCAGACAATCAATACGGTTTTCGATCCTCTCGCTCTACGGCCGACTTGCTAACTGCTGTAACTGAAAGATTTTATTGTGCATTAGATGGAGGCGGTGAGGCTAGGACTATTGCTCTTGACATATCTAAAGCTTTTGACAAAGTTTGGCATGCTGGTCTTCTCCATAAGCTTGCTTTATATGGTGTTTCTGGGAAAGTTTTTGAGATTATCAAATCATTTCTTTCTAACCGGTTTATTAAAGTCATCCTTGAAGGCCAACACTCTTCTTTATTTCCAGTAACTTCTGGGGTTTCCCAAGGTTCCATCTTGGGTCCTGTTTTGTTTCTTATCTACATAAACAATCTTCCTGACAACCTTTCATCTAAAGTAGCTCTTTTTGCTGATGACTCAACTTTATACTCCTGTCTTGACAAAAAGTCTTCTCTTTTCGATGGCCTAGAACAAGCAGCTGATCTTGAATCCGATCTCACTTCAGTAATAGATTGGGCTTCACAGTGGCTTGTGAATTTTAACTCTAACAAAACCCAGTTGTTTACTGCAAACAACTACCGTAGTATGGTCAACATTCCTATATTAACGAATGGCAATCCTCTTGCTGAGTCCTCTTTACGTCTTCTTGGATTATCGCTTACTACTGACCTTTCATAGAAACCATATATACAATCGATTGCTAAATTAGCTTCTGCTAAGGTTGCTTCTCTTTATCGTGCTCGCCATTTCCTTACTTCTGATTCCATTCTCTACCTCTACAAATCTCTTATTCGTCCCTGTATGGAATACTGTTGCCATATTTGGGCTGGTTCTTCTAGTGATTCACTTTCTCTTCTTGACAAGGTCCAAAAACGCATTGTAAATGTTGTTGGATCTCTTTCTCTTTTCTACAAATACTATCATGGTCACTGCTCAAAGGAGTTATCATCTCTAGTTCCATCAACTAAAATTCATTCTCGTTTTACTCGTCATTCAGCTAAGTCTCAATCGTTTACTGTATCTGTCCCTGCATGCTCTAAAAACTTTTATTCATCTAGTTTTTTTCCCTGCACTTCAATCCTTTGGAACTCTCTCCCATCTTCATGTTTTCCTGACTCATACAACCTTCAACTTTTCAAGTCTTCTGTCAACCGTTTCCTTGCTCTATAACTCTGTTCTTTCTTTTCCTAGTAACTCCCAACTTAATAGTGGTTGCTTGCAGCCTTGTTGGGAGTGAATGCAAATAAAAAAAACAACAAAAAAACAAAAAAAACAGTATCAGTATTAATACCCTGATAATATTAGTAATATTATGAGGATGAATAACAGTGATGGTATCAAATTAGTAGTAATAGTTCTCACCGAAAACCTTCATGTACTCTGCATTTAACTCTGTGAGTTCCAATGCCTAAATCCACATAATTTTCTCCTCCAAGTGATACATAATACTAAAAAAAAGTTTATTAAAAAGTTTATCTACTTAATTTCTATAAAATAAATAATACTAAAAAAGAGATACTAAAAATTATTAAAAAATTTTTTTTTACAAATCTTGTGTAACAAATGGTAATATTGTTAATAATTCTTTACACTGCAGATTAAAATAATAATAAAAAATAAATAAATTATTAAATTATTGTATATTTAAAAATACTCTTAAATAAATGTAACCTGATTTAGTGCATCATAAAGACTTTCATATAAATTTTCCATGTTAAGTAGAACAACTTTAGTACCAGTCTCCATGCAAATTTTAATTCTGTTAATGTCACGGCACACCTGAAATAAATAATACTTAAAAAAATAATGCTTTGAAAATATACAAATATTTATAACTATCTAACTATGCTATCTAATTATGTAATTAAAATCAGTCAGAAATCTATGCCAAAAAAGTCAAATCGCAACATTGCAATTATTCAAATGAAACTATATTAACTAATTATACATTCAATCACAATTAAATTATGCTATTCGTCACCCAAGAAGCAGGAGGCCAAATGTCTATTTTTTGTGTTACAAGAAAATTGAGTTTTAGATTTAGCCAGAAAGTCCTACTGATTTTTAAAATATTTACTTAAATTCTATTATTTTTGAGAGCAAATTAAGTGCACACACTCCCTTGGTCGGTATTAATTGATAATAAACAGAAAAAACACAAAATGTGGACATAGAGCCTCTTGGTTCTCAGCTAAAAAATTGTATTACGCATTTTTTACTGTACATCAATTATATTTCAAAATACCAATCTTCAAAGACTTCAAAACTTTAAAACAAATAAAACAAAACAAAAAAACTTATACTTTTGTAATATTTTAAAATTCATTGAAATAACTATTTATATTTGTACATACATCAAATGAAGATTTGAAAATTTGGGCAGGAAGTATCTACACATAAATGACATTTTGGAAATTTTTTACTTTATTTCTTTTATTTTTTTCAATTTTATTTTCCTTGCTGTTTTTAAAAAGTGGCTATAAAAATGCGATGCAGTTTTTTATTCTTTCATAAATTTTTGAAGATAAATAAAATAAAAAAAACCTGGGTAAACTCTTGGTCCTTTGGAAAACTACTTCCAAAAATAATACAGCTTTTGTATTTTTCTTTTTCATATAGACTATCAATAATAGGAAGAGCAGAAAAGTCTTCAGTCATTAGAAGAAGATAGCGAGAGCTCAGACAATGTCTCTTTGCATTTTTTCCTCTTACAACATAACACGGACATTGATCTGCAATACTGTCTTTTATCATGCTTAATACATCAAAGGTTCTTTCAGCCTATGATATTCAAAAAACAATGAAATTTATAGCTAAAACATCAAATTACAATAACAATAATAATAATAATAATATAATAATAATATATGTATATATATATATATATATATATATATATATATATATATAGATATATATATATATATATATATATATATATATATATATGTATATATATATATATATATATATATATATATATATATATATATATATATATATATATATATATATATCAGGCTGTTACAGAAAACATGTGTGGTTTGACATCTTGTCTGTTCTCAGTTTGCCTTGTTTGTCCACCTTTAAAGTAATTTTTTTAAACTAACTGACCATGGCAGTTCACATCTTTTAACTTTTAAAGCGTTTCAATAATTTGGTATATTATTTTTTTTAACAAAATTATTTATTTTTAGTTTATTTTATTAAGATTTTCTATTTTGTATAGTATTCATTTTCTTTCTTTTCTTTTCTCAAGTATTGCTGTTTTATTCTTTGTAGTTTCTTTTAGCTTTATTTTGTTGCAAATTCTTAAAATGCTTACTGTATAAAAATGTGGTCAAATTGTTTTAATAAAAAATTACTTTAAATGTGGGTGAACAAAGCGCGTGATTGCATGCACTTCTTGGAAAGGTTTGGTTTATGCATACAATATTTTCTGAAGACAATCTGACCACAGCTGTTTGCATGTTTTGATATATTAGGTGTTTCAAAAATTCGCAAAAAAAATTAAGTTGAAAAAATAAAACTAAAGTGAAAAAATAAAATATACTTAATAGAATGAAATTTTAGAAATAAAACTCAACCAAAATAAAACTTTAAATCCAAGTTTAACAAAAGTCTAAGAGATAATTATTTAAAACCTTTATGATTACAACTACTTTACATTTGGAATAAATAACTTTAAAACTATGATTTTTTCTAATGATTTTGTATTACGTGAAACTCTTTTAAATAAAGTAAAAAATTACTTTGATCAATGTTTGTTGTTTTATCAAAAAAAAATTTTAAATTATCAAAGAATATTATATATCTTTTGTTTAAAAAGTATATACATTTTATGATAAGTATTCGATTTTTCAAAATAACTTTTAATTAAATGTTTATATATAATATGCAAAATAATTTAAAAAAATGATAAATTACTTCTAACAACTGTTTATATTAAAGGCATTTTATTTAAATTATCAAAAATTACTATATATAACTTTTTTTATTGATGTAAATTTTAAATTGACGTAATATTCTTTGATAATTAAAATTTTTTTTTTGATAAAACAACAAACATTGATCAAAGTAATTTTTTACTTTATTTAAAAGAGTTTCACCTAATACAAAATCATTAGAAAAAATCATAGTTTTAAAGTTATTTATTCCAAATGTAAAGTAGTTGTAATCATAAAGGTTTTAAATAATTATCTCTTAGACTTTTGTTATTTGTTTATTGATGTATTTTTTCCAACAAGATACACACTTTTTTTTAAAATCATTTAAACCATAGTGTTTATAATTATGTTTATAATACTTAGAAACTTTGACTTTTTCTAAAGTTTTATTTTAAAGCTTTTAAATGATTTTTATTATTTTTATTTTTTCAAGTTAATTTTTTAATTTGCAATTTTTTAATTTGCAATTTTTCAGTCTCATCTCAACTACTATTGTCAGGTTTGGGGACAAATTGGCAACTGTAATATTAATAAACTATTATCAGCTTAGCGCCAATCAATCTGAATAATAAATTTTCAACTCCATAATACAGAAAATTCTTCAAAAAACTTAAAATTCCTACCTTGTCAGCACTAGTTAGATTTGCTTATCTTCTTTTTGTTTTTAACTCCCTTAATAAATATTTACCTTCCTTTATTACAAACATCTTCATTGAAACTTGATTTATACATTTACATTTAACTAGAAACATCAATAATGGAAAACTAAATGTACCTCTCTATAAAACTTTGAGGTACGGTAAGTATTCAATTACACATCAGTGCATCAGTGAATGGAATCAAAGCTTTGTGTGCATTGTGAATGAGTTTAAAAAATTAAAACTTAAAAATAATTTATCTTTATTTCTTTATTATAAACAAAATAAATTTAACCAAATTCTAAAAAAAACTTTATTTTAATATTTTTATCATTATTAACTTCTTTTAGTTTTCTAATTTTAATTTTTCATCTTACTATTTTTAAAGAAACTTTATTATTTTTGTCATTATTTATTTTTTTGATTACTGATATTTTTATTATTACTATTATTATAATTATTATAATTATAATAATAATAATAATTATTATTATTAATATTAGATTGTAACTAGATGATTGTATATTTGAGGAAAATATCTTCTTCTTGTTGTTGTTTTATTTATTTACTTTCTCTTTCGATATAGAATTTTCTTTTTAAATTTTTTTTTTAATTTTAATACTGCTTTTTTTTTTCTCTTCAGTTTGGTTCAACTTAGTTATTTCAGCTCATTTTTAAAACACTTAAATTTTCAGAACATGCAACCAACTGTGGTCAGGTTGTCTAAAGAAAATATTTAATGCATGGACAGACAAGGCATCCAACAACATGCACTTGTAACAACCTGATATTACATTCATATATATATTAATATGCGATAAAGATAAAGCATGCAATAAAGATAACACGTGGATTGCTAATCAAATATTTTTTAAGTTTATATAAAATACCTTGGATAAATTTTGTGGCAAAAATGACTTGAATATTTTCCAAGTATTAACTTCCTGAAGACCACTAAAGTTTCTTTTAACAGCATATTTAATATCACTGATGGAAGGACTATCTTTAAGTTTTCGAGCATAACAAAAAACCAGCTTGATTAAACTAAATCATTTTAAATAGATGTGATTTAAAAAATACATAAAAGTATACTATATTGGTTTAAAAAATCAAAATTCACTTATTAAAATATGCTTAAAATTGTATAAACTTTTTTCTTTAATGTTCATTAAATGACTATTCAATATGCATATACTTAAAGTAATTTATTTACTCTTTTTTTATATTTTATAACTGTATAAGCCACCTCTATAAGGCACTCCTATGGGTACTCTCTATGGACACCTCTATAAAATTGAATGGGCACTCGAGAAGGCTACTCTTTTTACAGGGTTATTCATTCTTATATGCGCGTCTATTCATTTTTATATGCGCCTTTATTCATTCTTATATGCGCATTTATTCATTTTTATATGCGTATTTATTCATTTTTATATGCGCATTTATTCATTCTTATATGCGCCTTTATTCATTTTTATATGCGCCTTTATTCATTCTTATACGCATTTTACAAAAGCAATTGTAAAAAAGCAATTTAAACAAAAAAAAAATCATTTTTGAAAAAGCAATTTGTTTTGAAAAAACAGTTTATTTTTTCAAAGCAAATTTTTCTTATTTCCAGGTAAACGAGGTTAAAAATACTTAAAACGAAGACTCTTTACATACATTTGACAATGGTTTATTTAATTTAGCATTAGTTCTTTGTTTTCAATGATAGTTTATTTAATTTAGTATTAGTTCTTTGTAATTTTATTATTAAAATTCTTGATTAAGTTATTATTTATCTAATTATTCATTTATCTAGATTTAAATTTAATTATTTATAATTATTAATAATATCAAATTATACATCCCTATGGATGGAATAGAAAATAGCAGTACCAATCATAAAACAAGGAACAATGTTACAAAAGAGCACATTGAAATGCTTAAGCATTTAATTGAAAGAAATCAATCTACAATAAGCATTTCCACTTCTCTTAATTTATTGAAGCGCGCAGTTCAAAATTTTGTCATTAAGTTAAACAGAGGATAATTCAACGACATGACGGCATGTCGTTCAAGTCGTTTTCTGATAAAAAACGAGGTAAAAGACCTATAAACTCTCAAATAAAAAATATTATCGAACTATGCGTACAAGAAAACAATCTTTGCACGCAAGAAGCAATAAAAAAATATCATTCTGCAGCAGGCTTCAACATGTCTCAGCCTACTATTTCAAGAAAACTCAAAAGCTCAGATTTATCAAGAAAACGTGTTGTTCATGTGCCGAAGAATGAAACTCAACACCAGTTATTAATGCACGCTATACATTTGCAAGCGAAATAAATGGAACTTCAGGTGAAAAACTTATTTATTTGGATGAAACTGGATTTAATGTGCACACTAACAGCACATATGGTTGTTTGCTAAGAGGTACGCCAGCAATTTTACAGTCACCTGCAAATCGTGGTAAGAATGTTAGTTTAATTTGTGCTGTTTCAACAATGGGAGTGCTTGCTTATGAAATAAAAATTGGAGGCTGGAATGCAGATTTATTTTGTACTTTCATAACTACAATGATGGCACCAGCGATTAGGAATGCAAAGGTTGAAGCGCCGGTGCTTATTATGGACAATTGTAAATTCCACTGGAGTCTTTCTATTAGGCAAACACTAGCCTCTTACGGTATAGCTATTAAGTATTATATTACATGGTACAGCTATTAAGTATTGATATTAATAATAATTATAAATAATTAAATTTAAATCTAGATAAATGAATAATTAGATAAATAATAACTTAATCAATCAAGAATTTTAATAATAAAATTACAAAGAACTAATACTAAATTAAATAAACTATCATCGAAAACAAAGAACTAATACTAAATTAAATAAACCATCGTCGAATGTAAAAAGTCTTCGTTTTTAACCTCATTTACCTGGAAATAAGAAAAATTTGTTTTGAAAAAATAAAATGTTTTTTCAAAACAAATTGCTTAAATGATTTTTTTTTGTTCAAATTGCTTTTTTACAATTGCTTTTATAAAACGCTTATAAGAATGAATAAAGGCGCATATAAAAATGAATAAATGCGCATATAAAAATGAATAAATGCGCATATTAGAATGAATAAAGGCGCATATAAAAATGAATAAATGCGCATATAAGAATGAATAAAGTCGCATATAAAAATGAATAAATGCGCATATAAAAATGATTAGACGCGCATATAAGAATGAATAACCCTGTAATTTGAAAAAATTATGCGGCAGTAGACTAATGGTAGAACACTTGGTTCTACATAAAAAGGTTCAAGGCTCAAATCTACCCTATGCCTTTAGAAATACCATGTTTTTCCATGCAGCAGTTTTGTTCAACAAAATTCATGTTTCGCTGTTTAGGATTGAAAGAGTTTTAAAAGTATTAACTCCCACTGGTATTAACTCCTACCTAAAACTCATATAACATGATTTTAAATAAATGAGTGTCTACCATTACCATTACTAGGTATATACTAAACGCTATATACCTAGTAATGGTAGCCTGTGTCAACAAATATGTAATATTATTAGCAATGAATTGTAAAAATAAAAGTTTAATTTATAAAAAAACCTGTAAAAATCTCTCAGTCCAAAAAATTCTTCTTTTTTACAATTTATTAACACTTTGCATTCATTTTGTTCTTCATACACCTTGAAGTATCCTTTTGTCAAAGGTTCAAATAGCATAGCAATTTTTCCACATATCACTTTATCCCCAGAACATATATCTCTGAAAAGAAGTAAAAATAATAACAAAAAAATGTTTTTAACAATCTTAAAATATTTATTCTACAAACTTAATACTATCAAGTGTAGTGATCTAATGATCTTAATACAATCAACAATTTATTCTCCCCTGTTTAATTGTATCGTGGGATGGGGGTCAAATAGTTAGAGAGAGAGTAGACACAATAGTAAAAATTCATGGATTAGTGTGTTGAAATTGTTGGGGTAAGAAAAAACTTTTAAATTAACATTGAATGAAAAAGAATGAAGGAGGGGGAAGTCAATAGATTAGGGGGATAGGGGATGTGACTTTTTTTTATATTAAAAAAAAAGAATTCATTTTTACTCATTTATTTGTTTATAAAATTATTATTAATTATATTATTATATATTGTTTACTTTAGTGAATCGAAATACAAATACTTTTGTTTACTGTTGCAAATCAATTAGTGTTAATTAGTGTTAGTGTTAACAAATTTCAAAAAGATTTTCAAATTTTTTAATACAAAACTTTACGTAAAAACAAAATTTAAATAATATTCTTATAAAATTTTTATTTAAAAGTAGCAACAAGTTACATAAACACAACTAAAATAAATTAATAGTAAAAGAAAAAAATGCTTACTTCTTTACTCTTCCTTCTTTTATTTTTAAGGCATAGATTTAATTAAAACTGAATAATGAATTTATGCTGCCAAGAAGCATAAATTTACTTAAGCTAAGCAGAAAAGTATTGGTGAAGCACTGAAGGTGAAAAGTATATAAATGAAAAGTATATATATGAAAAGATGAAGCTGATAAGTATGAAGCTGATAAGAAAAACCCTCTAATTAACAAAGCAGTTTGAAATATAAGGGAAAAAAGTGGATACACCTATTTAGCCAAATGGGCTATATAATATATAATTGTTTGTGAAATTTTTACTGACATGATAAATGTAAAATGCAATGTAAGGAATTTAAATGTTACAAAATTGCAACCTGTTTTAAAAAATTTTTTATAATGCTTACTGTTATTTGAAAAATAAAGTTACCGATTTGACAAGAAAGCTAATCAGTTGAAATTGTCTTACAGGTGGATTGATGGTTGGTAAAAAGAGTACAATTCAGCGCCCTAACTAACAAATTGCCATTCCCTGAGATATACAAAAAGAAGTATTCAGTTTCTTAAGAATGTATAGAGAACTTGTTACTGGTGGCTTCATATGTATAAGATTGATCCTCCTATCTTACCTGTTGACCAAATGCCTTTACATTGTTATGAAACACAATTAGAGTAAACAGTAATCACAGTAAGAAATCACAGTAAACACTCAATTTTAAAGGTAAATATTGGTACTGCTTTTTAAAAAAAATGATCATCTGTCCCCTGAATGCTGCACAGTTCAAGTTTTTGCATCATTTGCCAAACTACCCCTATTAGCACTTGTCTTTAAATGTATTTTCTCAAACTACCCCATTAGAACTTGTCTTTAAAAGCATTTACTCAAACTACCCCCATTAGAACTTGTCTTTAAAGGTATTTACTCAAACTACCCCCATTAGAACTTGTCTTTAAAGGTATTTATTCAAACTACTCCCATTAGAACTTGTCTTTAAAGGTAAAAGACAAGTGGTCATTGTCAACCAAAGAGAGGTTTTTATTACATAAAACAAACGTTATATTACATCAGCAAATTACCAACAAAATCCAGTGTTAATTTCACGTTTAAAACAAGTTATATTTATGCTTGATAAATATTTTGCTCAACTGCCATCTGGAGCTGTTTTTCAAAACACCTTAAGGTAAAAAAAAAATCAATTTTTTTTTTTTTTACAAAATAAGTTTTTTTAGATGCCTACAAATGTTATTGTATAAATATTTTTTTAGATGCCTACAAATGTTAAATGAATAAATATTTTTGAAGAAATATGAAAAAATTTATAAAAGCTAATAGGTTCAAAAATATTTTACATAGGCTTTCTCACATTAATTTTTTTCTTTTAAATGTGTTTTTTCCCAAAATGTGTATAAAGAATCTTAAGGCATTTTGAAAAACAGCTGCAGCCATCTGAAATCGAGCCTACCTTCTTTCAAAAAGGCTACTTTTTACTACTTATTGGTTGTGGCATAACTGGGGATGTCCAAGTAAATGATACCTCATATTATAGAGAAAGCAAAGCTGCTTAAAAAAAGAAAATGTAACTGATGTTGGACCTTATTATTGAACATCCAGATAAAAAACAAAGAGTATTCAGACCAGATAATATAAATAATATCCAGATTAAATATCTAGACCAGTGCCATATAGAAAAAAGATGATGCTGATGTTTAACGATGCATGGGATGAAGTTTATTTTAAAATTGAATGTGAAGATGCTTAAAAGAAAAATAAAATGACTTGCTTTCGATGATTTTGATGATAACTTAGCTATTAAGTATATCATGAATTTTTTAAGTAAGGAGTTAGCCTTAAGGGAAAAACTAATTAAATTGAAACAAATAGAAAGTTAAATGGATTTAAAAATGCAGATCATAATTTTAGCAATGTTTTCCTCTATGAACGACTCTTAAAGGTGTCTATAGAGAAAAACATTGCTAAAACTATGAACTTGAATTATGAACAAAGAACTTAAAGTAATAGAGCTGTATGAGAGTGATAGAGGTAATTGGAAGAGAATGAAGTCAATAAAACATATTTAGATAGTGAAAACAATGAAGCCAACAAGTAACCTGTTTAGAAAATTTGTTTCTAATTGGATGAATAGTTATTAAAATCAATGTAATTTTCTTTTTAAAACTTGAGTTTAACCCCCCCCCCCATACCACCTACAATGAAGCAGAGGAGAGTATCTACTGAAGCAGTTATAAACTTTCTTTCTACTACTTCATAAATACCAAAATGTTAAAAGATGAGCAAAAACAAAAATGAAAGTTTTGGTTTTTAAACTTTATTTAGTTTGTCAATTATTCCAAATAATTAATAAACTAAGAATTTTTATAATATATAATAATAAACTAAGAATTTTTATAATAAATAATAAATAATAATTAATAAACTAAGAATTTTTATAATATATAATAATAAACTAAGAATTTTTATAATAAATAATAAATAATAATTAATAAACTAAGAGTTTTTATAATAAATAATAAATAATAAACTAAGAATTTTTATAATAAATAATAAATAATAATTAATAAACTAAGAGTTTTTATAATAAATAATAAATAATAAACTAAGAATTTTTATAATAAATAATAATTAATAAACTAAGAATTTTTATAATAAATAATAAATAATAATTAATAAACTAAGAATTTTTGTAATAAATAATAATTAATAAACTAAGAATTTTTATAATATATAATAATAAACTAAGAATTTTTATAATAAATAATAAATAATAATTAATAAACTAAGAATTTTTATAATAAATAATAAATAATAAACTAAGAATTTTTATAATAAATAATAATTAATAAACTAAGAATTTTTATAATAAATAATAAATAATAATTAATAAACTAAGAACTTTTATAATAAATAATAAATAATAATTAATAAACTAAGAATTTTTATAATAAATAATCAATAATAATAAACTAAGAATTTTTATAATAAATAATAAATAATAATAAACTAAGAATTTTTGTTGGGAAAAAATTAAACTTTAATTATTTTTTTAATATTTTAAAATATTGTAAATACATTGTAAACTTGTAACTATTTAAAATAATTTACAAACTAAGAGTCATGTCAGGTAAAATTAACTCTTTTTATTACTAGAACTAAAAAAGATTGCATTGAGCTTTTTTTAATTGAAAGCCTATGAAACCTAGAAAAAAAGCCTATGAAACCTAGAAACAAAAAAACAAAACAAATTTTCATCAGTACAACAAAATTTTCTGATTTTTTTTCTTGATGAGAGCCATGATATTTTACACAAAGTTAGATTTATTACTCTGCAGTGGTTTAATCCCACTTCCTACTTGATTTCAATTCTCAGAACTTTTTACATTATTTGGCTTTAATAGTCACCCAATATCGCTTAACTGTACAAAGCTCAGGACAATTTGCAGGATTGGGTGTTTTAGTAATAAAGTTGATGAAATTGTAAGTTTTTGTAAAAGTACCAATTGTGTACAAATTTTGCACCAACTTTTCAATTGCAAAATTACATCACACACTGTTTTGTTGTCATTTTAAGTTTTAATTGAATTTTATCTGAGGAAAACTTTTAAATTCAATTTTTTGTATGATTTACTGTATGATAACAAGTATATAAAAATATTCAAGACCTACCTTGCAGTAAGAACAAGCTCATCAACACTAGGTTGTCCTCTGTACAACATTATACCTCGATTCATTTTTGCAGGATCAAGAGACCAATTGGAGATGCCAATAAAAGCCACTCTTTTATCCTTGAATTCAGAGCCATCAGCTGTAAGATCTTCAGAACCATCAGTACCATCTTCTAACAATGAATGTAATGCTTTCAGCGGCATCCTAGGTGAATCTTCTGCAAGACCAACTTCATCCAGAACTACAACTGACGCAAAAGTGTCTAAATCTTTTTCTACTTGAAATCTGCTACATTGTCTGAATGTATTTATTATTCTTTCTGCTGTAGACAGAGGACTGCATTGATATGACAGCATAAAAATCTATCAGGAAAAATAACATACAAAACATATATATGATATTGAGACTTGAATATCAAATTTTGGACTAACTTAAATATTCTATTTAACTTTCATTGATGTTTTATTTGTGTATTCATGTTTTCATGCATAACAAACACTGCACAAACTATCACAGTATATACATATATATATATATATATATATATATATATATATATATATATATATATATATATATATATATATATATATATATATATATATATATATATATATACATATATTAGGGCTGTTCATGTGAACACAGGAAAAATTTTTTTTTCTCGGATTTGAATGCATAGTTGTTTATTTTGTGCCATTTGACATAGTAATTGACTGTGTAAAAAATCTTTCCAATCAGATAATGTTTAGGGGGTGCTTAATGACCATAAAGTTTTACGAAAAACGTCAAAAACGTGGAAAAAGTTCCAAAGTTCCAAAAATTTCTAGAACCTGGTTAGTTAGATTTTTTCCACTGAAATATTGTCTGATTGCATGCTATATAGATTAATTAAAGTGCAGCAGATTAACTGTCATCAGGGCACCAGACTAAAAAATGTCTGCTAGTGTTTAAAACAACTGTGTTTATATCATTTTGTTAAAATTTGTATTCATAATTTTAATACTATTATTTAACTCAATTTAGAATTTGTTCAAACAGAATAAAAAGGTTTACAAGTATAAATATTATTTTTATTTGGAATTTCAGTTTGACAACAAATGTATTAATTTTTTGATAGTACCTAACCTTAGTAACCTATTACAGAAAACTAGCATGGTAGTCTGGTAGTGTATTGTTTGTTATTAAGTGCAGATAATAATAATTTCTAATTTGAAAATATTTATTTAATTTCTTTAGTAATAATTATTATTATATATTGCTGCAGCTGCATAAACCAACAACTGAATGATAAGTTTGTATAATATGGTATTGAGTTTTGATTTTCTCATAATTTTTCAGTTATCATTGAAATGGCAGCATCATCTCGTGTTGCTATCTCTACACGACTTCAAACCGAAATCTTTTTAATTGGACAACCAGAGCCAAATCTTCCAGATAAAGTTCTTCCCTTAACATCTGATGTTTTAAAAACATTTTTTTATCATCTTAATTCAACCAAAAAGTCAGTGCCTGAAAGTCTTAAAACAACTGTTGATGAACTGATTATTATTTGGAATAAAGCCCGTATTCCGACAGCATTTCATCCAAATGTAGTCTTAAAGTTGAAAACTTTAGTCCAGGAATTTAAATTAATAAAAAAAAATAAATTCAGATTGTCAGATTCTCAGAAATCAAGAGAGAAATCATTTACAGACACCATTGGCCTACTTTTTGACATTGCCCACAAGGATGCTGAAACCATGATCAGAATTGAAGAAGATAAAGAATTTTTATTGGATCAGAGATGTCAGAGAAAAATGGTGATGTTTGGAGAGGACAAAGAACTTTCAAAATTAGAAGCAAGAAATGAAGCAAGGAAACAAGCAGAGAGAGAACGAAAGCTAAAAGAAGAGCAAAGACAATCTGGTGCGAGTGCAATAGTTCCTGTTATTGAACCTTTACATGACGAAAGTTATAGTGATGACAACGATAACAATGCTGTTGATAATGACAAAATGGTTGATAGAGATTTTGAGATAGAAATCCCTGTTTATTACAGACAACAAGTCAGTAAAGCAAGTTCTTCAGGGTCAGCTGAATCAAGTTTAGCAAGTACTCCAAAACGACAATGTATCTTAGATACAATTCTTGACTCGCCTGATGTTTCATCAACATTAGACAGAATTAATCTGACACAAAATTTACTATACTAGCAGCAGCAATTGCAAGGGCTGGTGGACAGAACCTCGATGATGGATCATTGTCACGTTCTACAGTCCGTAGAAAACGAACCTATCATCGATCAAACATTGAAGCCACTGTTCGAACTGAATTCTGCAATTTGGACAACCCACCATTAATCGTCCACTAGGATGGCAAACTGATGATAGATCGTACAAATTCTGCAGACCCTAAAGCAAATGTTGACCAGCTATCTGTAGGTGTGACAGGTCACAATGTTGACAAAATACTTGAAATAGCAAAACTATCAGCTGGAACTGGAGAAGCCCAAGCAAAAGCAGTTATTCATCTGCCTAATTTCTGGGACATAATTGGTGATGTTATTGGAATGAGTTTTGATACTACAGCCTCTAACACTGGCTCCGAAAATGGTGCATGTGTAGTTCTATAGAAACATATAGGTAGAAATTTGTTATATTTTGCTTGCAGACACCATGTTCATGAGATCATAGTAGCAGGAGTGTTTGGATCACTATTTGGACCATCATCTGGTCCCAACATACCTCTTTTCCAGAGATTTCAGCAATATTGGCCCAAAGTTAATCAAGGAAATTTTAAACCTCTGGATGACATTCGAATGAAAATACCCCTGGTGCAAGAACTAAAAAATGAAGTGATGGCATTCCTCAAAGAAAACCTGCATGTTAAAATGCCAAGGGATGACTACAAAGAAATCATGGATCTCTGTCTGTTAATACTTGGAAAACTGCCTGATCAAGAAGAGAAAAATTATCATTTCAAGATCCCTGGTGCTTATCACATGGCTCGCTGGATGGCCAAGGTTATTTATTGTTTTAAGATTTATTTATTTCGTGAAGAGTTCAAGTTGACCACAAAAGAGGAAAAAAATCTCTGTGAATTTTGCTTATTTGCTAGTCTGGTTTATGTAAAATCTTGGATATCATGCCCAAATGCCAGCGATGCTCCAGTTAATGACTTGTTTCTGTTTCAGCAACTTAAGCAGTTTGCAGTTGTGAATAAAACGATTTCCGAAGCAGCAGTCAAGAAATTTCAAAACCATTTGTGGTACCTTTCACCAGAATTGGTCCCACTAGCTTTGTTTTCAAACAAACTTAAAACGGAAGAGAAGCGAAAAATGATTTCCAACATGAAATTTCACGGTGAAAACTGGTCTGAAAGGTTGATCAAATTAAAGAACATTGAAAGTCTAGAGAAGAAATCTCTGGACATGCTGGTGACATCAGTTTCAGCAAGTGCGTTGCGGTCAATGAAGGTTGATATTGATTTTCTGTTCAACAACGATCCAGCTACCTGGAATGATTCCCCAGAATACCAAGAAGGAAAAAATTTAGTATATTCATTAAAAGTAGTAAATGATGCTGCCGAACGATCTGTGGCTTTAATGTCGATGTTTAATGAATCGATTACAAGGAATGAATCTGAAATGCAGAGGTTAATTCAGGTGGTGAGGATCACAGAAAGCGAGTGCCAGATGCCAGAAGTGTACTCTGAAGATTTATAGTCCTCGCTAGCATTAACATTGCACGAACTATAACATTACGATAATTAAATGTTAATTGCTCATATGTTTTTGAGTTGACCTACTTAGTAGTTGATAATGGTTTGAGAAACTGTTACTCCTTTACAATAATTTTTTTTGTTTATAATTCGTATTTTAATCAATGACAAAGAGTCAAAAATCTTAGTGTTTTACTTTGGAAAAATTCTGATATAACAAAAACCGCAGAACTTTAGTCGTATTGCAGTATTTTATTTCATTAATTTCTCTGCTAATAAACCAGTATAAAGTGGATGTGGATTGTAATTTGTATTCAGAATTCAATATTTAGAGATAATTAAAACTGATCAAATCTGAAAAATCTAATTAACCGGGTTTTAGAAATTTGTGGAACTTTGTTACTTTTTCCATGTTTTTCACATTTTTCGTAAAACTTTATGGTCATTGAGCACCCCCTAAACATTATCTGATCGGAAAGATTTTTTGCACAGTTAATTAATATGTCAAATGGCACAAAATAAACAACTATGCAATCAAAACTGAAAAAAAAATTTTTTTGGACAGCCCTAACATATATATATATATATATATATATATATATATATATATATATATATATATATATATATATATATATATATATATATATATATATATATATATATATATATATATATATATATATATATATATATATATATATATATATATATATATATATATATATATGATATATATATATATATATATATATATATATATATATATATATATATATATATATATATATATATATATATATATATATATATATATATATATATATATATATATATATATAATAGTAAATATGTAAATATTTCTTGGTAAAGAATACTTTATACTAAAATAGAGTAATATGTAGTAAAACTAAATAATCTATCTAATAACGCTTTATTAATTTTAAACGTAACTCAGATTAACGCAAATTAGCCAATAATAATTTTAGGCATATATTACCTGATAATATTCTGATGTATGGCATATTAACATTTCAAATTATATCTATAACTATTTTTAGTAAATTAAAATTATATGATTTCTACTTAATCAATGATGGTAAAACATTTTATACTTATAAATATTTAAGAAAAGTGAAAATTGCTTGATTTACTACGCAAATGATTGTTAAACAAAATTTCAATATGTTATGATTGCGTGAAACTCTGAGTTATGCCTAAAATAAATCAAGTGTTGTTTTTATTTAGTTTTTACCAATACAAATGAAACAAACAAACAAATAGTGATTCTTAGGCCTAAATGCAATATATATTATGTGTTAAACTTTTACATTAAAAAAAAAAAAAAATCAACATTGCTGACTTTTTTTTTAAAGTCAGTGGGTTTTAGTAAATACAAAGACTATCTTATAGCCTGCTGCTGCAAGGGAGTACCACTACATCAATATATATACTCTCTCTCTCTCTCTCTCTCTCTCTCTCTCTCTCTCTCTTATATATATATATATATATATATATATATATATAGTATATATATATATATATATAGTATATATATATATAGTATACATATATAGTATATATATATATATATATATATATATATATATATATATATATATATATATATATATATATATATATATATATATATATATATATATATATATATATATATATATATATATATTATCTGGAAACTTGCAAAGACGCTGAAGTTAGATTCAAATATATGTACCAGTTAGGTCTAAGAAATTATAAATTTAGGTATGGTATATCTTACAAAACAATTTCTGGAGAGACAAAGTCGGTTAGTGAGCAAATGATCACTTGATGGCTAAAAACTGCACTGCCTACAATTCTCTCGCAATACCCACTTGAAAATATTTTTAATGCCGATGAATTTGAAAATTATTCCTTTTTTACTATTGGGCCCAACCAAAAAGTTGGATACCAGCTGAATTCTTCGAGGAGTGGGTTAAAGAAATTTACCTAAAGCTTAGTTTTCATAAAAGAAAAATTGCTTTAATTATGGATAATTCTTCTGCCATCTTAATCTGCAGAAACTTGATTGGTTGGAGTTTATCTTTCTTCCGCTGAATAAACATCGATCATCCAACTTATGGATCAAGAAATGATCAGATCAAGCAAAATTTTACTCACTTACAGTGAAAAAACAGATTACTGCCTTAAAAAAGAGGACAAGAAACTTACTCTAGAGTCCTAAATACAAGGCAAGGGGGAGGGGAATGAGGGGAATTAATTTTCCCACCCACCCTAAGCTTATTAAAACCCTCATTTATTAATTTTTACTTGTTATCAACAAAAAAATTACATATAAAAACTAAAAAAAAAAAATCAGTGAAAATCGACCTTAAAAATTAGAAAATAATTATTTCAGTCACCAATAAAACAAAATCTTTCAGTGTAACAAATCAAAAAACAGCTTAACAAATCGCTGACCAAGTAAATCTTGATTAGTTGAAAATGAATTTTTGATTTATTTTGCACTATAGTATAAAATTTATATCATTAAATTGTATTAAAATAATAATAAAACAGCTGTTACAAAATCTGACATTTGACTAGAATTAAATAGTTTTATATGTGTTTTGTAGAAACTATTAGTTTGGATTTATAAATCAAAATGTTCTATAAAAAATACTTTTATTGTATCATAACATCAGATCGGAAGTTTTCACAAATTAACCGATATAAATATAGTTTAGAAGAAAAAAATGCTTTAGGCATTGTATTTTATGGTCATTTGTGCTCAATATTTTTTATTATAATGGAATTTTTTTATTCAGTTTTAGTTTTTTTGATGTTTTTTTGAAAAATCCCCCTCCCTCTTGCCTCCTCCTTCATATATTAGATATGGACTAAAATCCCCACCCCCTCTTGTATTAATAACTTTGTTATATAACTTAATATTAATAACTTTATATTAATAGAAGTTTTCTTAGCTTGTTTAATACAATCTTAGCTGCTGTTTATGCTAACAAAAGCATGGAGTTCCATCCCAGACCAGACCTTTATAAATTATTTCAAGAAATCAGGAATATTATTAAGAAGTAGAAAAACATATAAATGATAATAACAATGCTTTCTGTGACTTAGACATAGAGGAGGCTGTAATGGAAAACATAAAAGATGATCTTGAATTGTTAAAAGTCAATTTGTTAAATAAATTGTTAAAAGTCTAATTTAATTCAGATTTTAACTGCACAGCAAAGGAATTAGTTTTTTGCCAACCGCAAACACATTTAGGTCGACAGTTAGGTCAACATTGCCAAATGGTGACCCTAATTCCGAGGGTTATATATATATATATACACTTACTAAAGCGTGTTTTGATAAGCATTTGCTCACTTTTTCTGCTTACCTTAAGCTGTACCGTTTTTTTCGAAAAAGAAGAAAAAAAAAACAAAGAATGATGAATAAAACGATCGCTGCCCCATCCTAAACCCTCAGTCGATGTAGCAGCACTCCACTGCGAGTCAGGCTATTTGTCAGTTGATGTATGTACTGAAGCCCCCAGCAGCAGGCTGTTTCAGTATGACGTCAGAATGCTTACCTTAGTACGCAATACTATTTGTATATATATATATATATATATATATATATATATATATATATATATATATATATATATATATATATATGGATTTATAAACAACTTTAGCATCCTTACAATCATAAAAATAAATAAAAATTCCTCTATGAGACAAAAAAAAAATGATTTTATCAAATAAAGGAAAATGAAAAAATGAACAATAATAAAAGAAATAAAATTTCATTTAAAATTTTTTTTCAAAAAATTTAAAAAATTTCTAAAAAAATTTAAGGAAGCCAATTTAATAAAATCTTTTGAATTCTTTTGATATAATCAAATATTTTAATTTTCTTATTTTAATAACAGATAAATAAAAAAATTAATAATATCTATTTTAAAATTGAGTTCAATATATCCTTTAAATGTTTTATAAAATATGTCCATCAAAGGTCAACAAATGGATTTTTGATAATGCAATTATCTAAATACTTTTTCTAATCAATTTTCTATATATACTATATTTATATATTATATTACAAGTTCATATTGCAGATTTTTAGTAGATGGTGGTATATTACTGTTAGCTAATACTGAATTTAAATTAATCAAGTTTTACTTTTAAAAATCTATTTTTAATTTCACCTGTTTGAATTCTTTAAAGAGAACAGATTTTGACATTTTTCCTTGCATACTATCTTGTACTATTGATTTTGCTAAAGATTTTGAGCTTCCAGGTTTGCCAACAACGAATAAGGGGATACGTAACTCAATGCAAATTACCATCATAAAAACATTCTCACATAAGGCTTCATTTTGTGCTATATTTTCTTCAAGATCAATACCCTTCAAAAAACTTTTTTGGAGTCTAAAAGTTAAATTCTATATATGAAAATATGCTTTCTATATTTTTTAATATCTATCTATTCAAATATATATATATTATATATTTTGTACAAAAAATCATCAGTAAACTTTTACTCTATAGTATCAAATAATATTTTTTTAGATTTGAAAAATTTACAAATATCAAAAACTTTTTAAAAACAAAATTTTATTATAACCCATATGCTTAACAGACTCTTGATATTATAGAAAATCTATTTTGTACAAATAATTCATTAGTAAACTTTTATTTTACGGTATCTAAAGATATATATATATATATATATATATATATATATACTTTTTAAAAACTAAATTACATTTTTAAAAAATAATCTAAATGACAATTCCATGCCTGTAAACTTCTTCTTTAATTCTGTTTGCATCACATGCAAAACCTGATGCTTTAAAATACTTAGAGATGTTTTTTCTATATGAATCTCTATCTTCTAACTTTGCAATGTAGCAAACATGTAAAGCATAAATTAATGACAAGCACATCTTTTCGACTTCAGACTAAAATAATGTTAACATAAATCATTTGTGAACATAAATGTTTTATGCTAATATAATTGTTAACATCAAATATTTTTGAACTTAAAACATCAGTTAGTCAAATAAATAGTATCAAACAATTAAAATATAAAAAAATATTTTTTAGATAAAACATTAAAAAAGTACCATGTCAGATATATTAGAATCCATGTTATGTAGTAGAATATTTATTTTTCTATAAAACCATGAGGTTGCCATTAAAACTCTTTCCACATCTCTAAGGCTAACAAAATGACATTCATCCTAAAAAATAAAAATTAAAACTAAGAACAAAATTTTTAAATTCTAAAGAATTTAAAACATTTTGAATTTTGACTTTACTTGAACTTCCAAAAAAAGTAAAAAAACAAAACTAAAAAAAAACAAAACATAATAACATCCTATCACTAAAAAATTTGATAACTTTTTCCTATCACTAAAAAATATGACCATGTCTTCCTATCACTAAACAAATATGACAACTTCTTCATATCACTAAAAAATATAATAACTTCTTATCACTAAAAAAATATAATAACATTTTCCTATCACTAAAAAATATGATAATATTTTCCTATCACTAAAACATTTTATGATTTTCTTCTTGGAAGTTAGAAGATTTTCTTCTTGGAAGTTAGCTGGCAGGCTTAAGCATACATCCATGTTTTTAGCGCTATTGTAATATTAACAACATTCATGCTGCTGTTAATCAGGTGGTAATCAGTTTTTAATTTATCATTGTTGTGTTAAGATTATTGTGATATTTTTGTTGTGTTAAGATTATTATATAAGAAGATTGTTATGCTATATTTATGAACTACATTTTTTTACATATACATATATTGACACTATAGCTTAGTGGATTAATGCATAAACTTTGAAGACAATGCCTTCTATTTTTATTTTATCCAAACTGGATTTATCGTTATTTTCTTACTATTTAATCTATCTTTTATACTCTATTGTTTTATATTTAGTCATGCGAGCCATTATCACACCAGCAGATTTATACAATTTTGCTAACTCATAGGTCATTGCTTTATCATTTGCTAAGGATAACTAGATCATGGTTCCCCCTCTCCCTGAGTTGTTAAACTTTATTCCTCCTACTAAAAATTCTTTACATTTATTGCTGATTCTTACCCAATATCCCAGGTCTATATAACTAGACAACTCAGTTGGTCAATTTTTGCTATCAAAATGTTACATAAACAAATAAAAATATTATAACTTCTTCCTATAACTAAAACATTTATATAAAGTTTTATTCTTGGAAGTTAGCTGGCAGGCTCGAGGAAAAAATGTTGTTGTTTAAAAATAAAATCAATTTAAAGACATTTTTTGTTATACAATTCTGCTTAAAAATTATTAATAAAATATTCTTCAAATATCTATGTTAGAAATTAGAAATTTTAGATGTCAAAAATCTAATGAATTTCTAAAAGCCAAATAATCTAATCTAACAGTTGACAAATCTTTACAACAGTTATTTTTTCAAAAATTATCAGATTTTTAACAACAAATGTTAAAAATTAAAAAGTTACAATGTTTAAAGCTAAAAAATTTACTCCCTCAAAAAAAAAAAAAAAAAAAAAAAAAAAAAAATTCTAAATAATAAGATCCATATTTTGTGGGGGTGATAGTAGGGGGTAATAAGGTTCTTTAAACAATAAATGAATTTCTTTAATGTGCAGAGCATTAAATGTTTTATACTTATGCAATATAGACAAAATTATGTTGTTAAGCTATATATTAAGAAATTTCTGTTACTTTCATTTTTTTGAATTTTAAAAAATATTCTTTTGTATTTAATCAATCATTTTGATTGATTAGAACTTTTTAACTAATACTTATATTGTGATCTTTTAAATGTTTATGTAACTAAATACATCTTATATAACACTGGTTTTTGTGTTTGTGTTTTCAGTCCTGTTATTAGTATACAGAGCTATTCATGTGTTTCGTGTCATACAAGAATAATAACAAAGTTAAAAACATAAAAGACCTCTTTTTTCCTCATATACACTTGCGATTCTGCAAGGACATTGATGATAAGTTTAAAAAATATTGGTTCATCTGGCAAAGCTTTCTGCTTGATCTAAAAAATAAAACAAAAAAAGTATGTGTTCAAAGAACAGCAAAAATAAAAATCATCATGTTAGTAAAAAAAAAAAAAAGGAAAAATTGTTTAAAAAATAAAAATAAAAATCAATAAAATATTAATTAACATATGGATAAACTAATGGGAAAAATAAAAATTATTAAAAACAAATGTAAAAATAAAAACAGAGTCTTACATAACGCATTATAATTTGCCTTGCATATGTTTTTTCTGTTTCTGGGTTTAACTGACCGAAATCCCAAACAAGAGGAACCATGCTTTTTGGTAACGGATGCACACGATACACCAACTGTCTCAAAGGAATATCTCCTAAACATAAATATTACTATTATGTTTTTAAACATAAAAAAAGTTTAAATATACTTTATTATAACATAAAACGTGTTAATAATGTGTTAATATTGTTATTTAATAAGAACAAAATAGATAATTTAATTAAAGTATATATATATATATATATATATATATATATATATATATATATATATATATATATATATATATACACACACAATTAAGCAACATACCAATCTTTTCATAAGGAGATTTAACATGATAACCTAAACCAGCTGATTCTAACTTCTCAATCATTGTTCTTGTATGCCTTTAAAAAAAATGTTTTACTATATTTGGAATTAAAGACCTTATTTTAAAAAACACCATAATAAATTTTAGGGTTCCTTTTATCATACAATTAAAAAACATAGGTAAAGAAGTTTCTAATATGTAATATTAGAAACTTATTTACCTAATATAAGTTTCTGCTATGGTAGATCCCAGGGGTCAAAAAATACAAACAACTTGAATTTTCATACATGTAGTCTAGTTTTTGGTAGGCTTAAAAAAGGTATTAATCCTAACTGCGCAGTTTAGCCTGGATTGCTTGTAATCATTATGTTTATAAACTGCATATTAAGATATTGTTACAGAAAAACTAAATAAAAACAAATTATATCTCAATATATTATATTTCACAGCTTATCAAATCTCCAATCCAAAAATAACACATTTGCTAAATTTTTATTAATTGTATTAACTAAAAAATACTGAACTATATCTAAAACTATAGAATGGGGTCAAATCTTTTAGAAAGAACGTGATATTTATATGAAAGATTTTTTGTTATTTACTTGGCAAATATATTATAAACTCTTAAATTGAGAAACTCAGAATTTTTTATTGACAAAAAAATGTAATAAGCAAAATTAAAGATCTTATTAGAAAACTTGTTTTTTCTTTGATTTATTAAAAAATGACTTTACATGAAAAGAATGAAATATTTTAATAACTCTGAGACTTATTTCCAGCTTTAGAATATATTTAAACCATCTATTTTAGATATTTTTTGAAAATAAAGCAGATTTTATAAAATAAAACTTTGAAATTCAGTCTTTTAAACATTATTCAAACTTTAATGAAGAAAACCAATTGCAAAGGAAATATTCTAGTTATGTGCTGACCATCATTAAAGGACATCAGACAAAAAGCACAATATTTTAATGGAAAATAAAATCTAAAATTAAAAAATTATTTTTTATTAATCCTGGTTGCCCCTTTAATCTCTCATTATAAATCCAGGTTAAAATTCAATATATATATATATATATATATATATATATATATATATATATATATATATATATATAATATATATATATATATATATATATATATATATATATATACACTATTCTTTTCATAAAAACACTGCTCGCATAAAAATCTAAAAATCTTATATAATTAGAAAAAATTTAATCTAATTAAAAGAAAAATTAAAGTTTTTAACTAACTTTCTGTATGGATTACAAGCAGCAATTATTTCAAGCCCACACTCAGCTAGCCCTAATGGTTTACCATCAGCTCTTTTATCTACCATTATTTCTTTGATAAGTCCAATCGCATCAGATGTGTTTGCTTCATCAAAAAATAAAATAGTATTTATCATATAATTATCAAAGTTTTTCTTTGCCAAACGCTTCGCTTGTTCAATTCTCATAAGTATGTCTTGATGAGTTACACCACCATGAACCTAAACAAAACAAGATCTACATTGTTAATTTCAGTGTTCATACAGGAGTATTATTGGTAAAAAATGTTTTTCTAAAATAACATGACTGTGAAGATTTTAAAAACAAGTTTTTTTTTTCTCTGAAAAACATGCTAATTTATGACAGTATTATAAAAATATATTTGTGAAAATTAATAAACCTAATTAAAAAAAACTCATAAACAACACTTTGAGGATTTATTGAATATAAATATATAGCCTAAAAACAGATCATTGCCTTAAAACAGACCAAAAACAGTAAAACACAAATTTAAAAAACAGTAATAAACAGGAAAAGGTTTGACATTTTTTCGCTAAAAATAAACTTTAACACTGTGCTCTGGTATTTATTTAACTGTATATATCCTATCCATGACTTGTTTTTGTGCTGGCAAATCCTGTTATTAGTACACATTTTTTAAATTCTGTTATTAGTATACATATTAATAGTATAAGTTCTGTGATTAGTATTTGTGTCATACAAGAATTACCATAATGTTGAAATGACCTTTTTTTTTTCATGTACAATTGTGATTCTGCTAGGACATAACAAGTTTAAAAAATATCAGTTTATCTGTCAAAGCTTTATCTAAAATTTACTTGTGATGAAAGGTCTTGATTTTTGATTAGTGATGAAAGATCTTGATATTGATATATTATACTATTGCAGAAATTAATTTACATAATCAATCATAAATCAATACAATAATGGTCTACTCCAAAACTTTTAAAAAAAGACTCCCTTTTTGCTAATGATGTCTCCATATAATATTGCAATGAAATATTGTAGCCAGCTTTTCAAATATACATAATAAACAAAAAAATAAATCAGTGTAAATCAGGACTTTAATAAACAGGAAAACAAGCTTCAACATTTTTTTGCTAAGTATAAACTTTAACTAATACTTATATTGTGTTCTGGTATTATGTTTATGTAACTGAATACATCTTATATATTATTTGTTTTTGCGCTAGCATTTTTAATTCTGTTATTAATATACACAGTTATTCATGTATGTAGTATTCGTGTCATAAAAGAATAATCATAAAGTTAAAAAAATATAAGACCTCATAAATCTCTTTTAAAAACTATAAAAACTCATTTAGAAAATAACTTTTTTTAAAAATATTTTCTTTTTTAAAAAGTTTTGGATTAGTTAAATAGTAATGAGAGTTTGTCAAAAAAAGTTTATTTTTCATTTATTTTTAATTTTCAAAAATATATGAAGAATTAGTGCAAATGTAGCCTATGGTCACACAAAACTTTGGAAGAAAAATATATGCACCTCTTACTAATGCTATATACAATGCTGTTGGCATAGAACTCTTTAGAATTTCAATTAAAAAAAATGAATAAAGCGATGTTGAAGTGTTAATGCTTTCATTGTGCAAGCTGTTGCTCAGTGATTGAAACAAATAACAATCTATTAGCAAAAATTATTGCAACCAACCTGCAATAATTTTTACAATTTGTCTCAATTATGCAATGTTAATATGAGTTTAACAGGGAGGAAGTAAACTTTGTTGTTTTCAAGAAGTGTTTTTTCGGAGTCCCACTTAAAGCTTATCAAATTGAACACAGTAAGTTGTTGCCTCAATTATGGTGTTTGACCAAAGTCAATTCACAATGTTAAGCACATTCCACCAAAGAGAAAACCATGAATGTCCAAGTTTGCTAGACAGCATGTAGTTATTAACAAATACATTGTAATTAGTTGCTTTGAATGCCCTAAACCCGATTCTATTGGTTGCCAGATCTGGATTAATGTTTGAATTACTTTTATATTTAATATTGTCTCTATTGCAATATACAGAAGTTTTTCATTGCAGAAATTTTAAATGAACTAACAGGTCATATCACACCCTATATATAATTAAGGAAACATATTGAGGTTTTGAGAACTTTCTAGAAATCTTAAAAAAAAATTGATTACTACATTTTAACTTACCTATCAATTAAAACTATACCTTCACTAGCAGCATGTTTCTTATGTTTGGACTTCCAGCTTGCAGTGCAGACATAAACTTTATTAACTTTGTTTTACCACACCCAGTCTCTCCCATCATTATGACAGGTATGATACATCTAAAAGTAAAAAGCATTTTAAATAAATTTATTTATATATAAAACATACTAAAATAAAATAGAAAAGTACACACACTTATTTACTACAAGGTATTTAGATTTAATGTTCCAGACTGCGTATTTCTAGTGAGTAATATGCGTAATGCATAATACGTATTCCTATTATGCAACACGCATGTTGTTACAACTATTATATTATTTAATAGTGTTGTTACAACTATTAAATAATTTGACTGTGGACTAAATCAACTAATATTTTTTCTAAAGTCTAAATGTTTTAAACCTTTTTGAACTTTAATTACATTAAATATCTGTGAAAAGCCAATAACCTCCTAATTCTATTTTAAAGTTAAATTAAATACTTTATTTGTAAAGAACATAAATTTGTGTATAAAGTAAATCAAAATTACCATCAAGTAAAGTTGCTCAACTTAACAAATAAAGATATTTAATATGCTTAAATATATTTATTTACAAAAGTGAGCCATAGGAATTTTTCTATCTATATCTTATATGTTATTAACACATAAAAAGCTTTTAACTAAAAATTATTTTAAAAAGAAATTTTAAACATTTTTTCATGTCAAGATAAAACATTTTCTTGAAATAAGCATTTAAAATATTTATAAATATAGCATTTAAAATATTTTTAAATAATATATTTATTTTAAAAAGAAATCTATTTATTCTTGATATTTATTTACTTTTATTAAAAGTATCAAAACAATTTTTAATAAATCATTTTGCACAAATGTTCAGAAAAAAGAAAAAAAAAAAAAAAAGATGGAGTATGATTTAAATGGTTTTGTTGTAATTAAATTAGGATGGTGTAAATTTTCTAAAAAGCATATAAAACAAAAAAAATTGTTTTCTAAAGATGCTAAATCTTTAAGAAAAAAGTTCAATATTAGACACTATTAAAAAAAAATTATAGCAGCCCTTCGCATATATTATTACTATTATTTGATTGCATAATAATAACAAAATAGATGCCAATAACTTGGGAAACTCCCAATATGATACTGACCATAATGGGAATTTCCCAAATTTTCCTATCTTCAATTGCAGCTACAATTTTTTCAGATTACATTGACACAATAATTAAAATCAAACTATTGAATGTTTAAAAAGTTGTAGACATCATCATTTTTTGTTTCTTAAAAATAGTTTAAAAAGTAGAAATATTCTATTGCAAACATTGAATAAGTGAAATAAAATAAAATTATAAATAACTTTAATTAAAAAAAATTAAAATATTTTAATTCTTTTTAAAATATTTATTTTCAATAAAAAATTTAACTAAAAAAAAATTAAGTAATTTGTCTTATTAAACTAAATTCTCTCGCTTTTTTTTACTTCAAAACAATGGAACAAAGTAATTGAATGAAAACATAAATTTAAAAATTCAATAAATGAAAAAATGTATGTATGAATGTATGTACATCTAGAAGAACTTCAAAATGAATGTGATTAAAAAAATTGTTTATTCTAAATATCCAAAAAGAAAATTCTTATATCATCTAAAATCATTATATTGAAAAAAAAAGGATCAATTTAGTCATTCAACATCTTGATCATTACGCCTTAAAGTTTTTAACTAATGCATTTAAAATTTGTCAGATTTAGTTGTGATATATCATGTGATCATGTGACAGTCAAAATCTATAAAACAAACAATACATTAAAAAGTGTTTTTTACATTAAAAATAATTGTTTTAAGTTATTAAAAGTATGACATGTTATTCATTATTATTTTAATTTATGACTGGAATCTTAAAGAAAATCATTATGTATTGTCAAACTATTCCTAAAGTTCACTAATTTTCAGTTAAATTATTATTAAAACTTGCACAGCTTGTAAATAATTAATTATAATTCATTGTTTACATATTATAGTTACATATTTAAAGGGCTATTCAAGCAAAAATATTTAGGTGGCAGTACACCCCCACCCTAGAGAAATTTAGCAGAAATAATGCCAACTTCATTAAAAAAAAAAAAAAAAGAAAACAATTGTCGTAAAAAGCCTGAAAAAAAAAAAGGTCTTCAATTTATAATTTGGACAATGCTCAAATATTAAAAATATGTCATTGGTCGGCGCTGTCAAAAACAGTCTAGAATAGTCACTGACATTACAACAAAAGAGACTTTAAATAAAAAACCTCAATCGCATGTGAATTGCCAAAATCTTTTTTAAATTATCCACAGTTAACTCATATGTAGGATCTGGATCAAATGTTGGTACGCCCAACACTCGACAGATTAATTCCAGTTTTTGTTTTCTAAAGAAAAACTATATATATTAAATAAAATTATACTTAAATTTTTGATGATTTTTTACAAAAACAACAATTTTTTTTTCTTCTTTTTTTTTTTTAATGAGATGGATTGCCTATTATTTTATTTTACTAATTAAAATTAGTTGCTACACTATATTTATAGAATTGCCATTAAAAACATTCTACGTTTTCAAATAATGAAAGATATAAAATCATTTTTAGAACAAACTTTTAATAATGTTATTAGACGAATCTCATAAACATATTAAGATGTAAGATATTAGAACCTTGGTCTTGAAAAGCATTGGTGTGTCAAATTAAATACAAAATGTAGCAAGTTTTAGAGATAAACCTTTTCATTTGCAAAAAGATGAAAAATTATACAAATAAAAAAAATTTAAATCTTTATTATAACATTACATTATTGTCACACTTTAAATAAAAACTTTAATTTAAAATTACCTCTTCAAATCATTGTAATTAGTGTTTAAGCACCCTGCCATCTGTCTATTAATGTCATTGTAAAGTTCTGGTGACATAATATTTTCCTTAATAATCAATCTTGTCTCAGGGTCAAACAAATTACCTCTATAGTCAATATTAAATCCAAAGAATGTCATTGTTGCGTGGTCTTGGTTGAAAAATAAATATGGGTGTAAACTAAGAAATAAAGTAATAACAATAAGAAATATTTTTATTATAATAAAAATAAGAAATAATTTGTAGTTCATATTAGACACACCCACACATATTTTTAAACAATATCTAAATCTTTAACCCATGACAACCATGTTTATTGCTTTTTAAGTCACCCATGACAAACATGTTTAGTGCTTTATTGAGAGCTGAAGCAAATAAATTACTATCATTAACACTTATTTTAATTTATCAACTTATGCAACAACAACGCAAAATTTATTATATATAAAATATTTTGTTAACAAAATTAGTTCAACGTTAATATATTACAACATTAATATAATACTTAATTAATATTACAACATTGATATATTACATAAACATATAACTGTATATTATATTTGTTATATAATTAACTAAATAAACCTATGTTCCCAATGTCGCTTCAGTTGGACCATAAAGGGGTTGTTAACCAAAGTATCATAAGATAGTGAATGTGTTGAAAAATCCTTTTAAAATAAAATTTAACTAAATAAATATAAATAAAAAAAAATTAAACACACAGTATAAAAACAGTAAAAGTCTCTAATTTCATTTATATAAATAAATTTTTCTTTCTAACCTGTGACATCTCCAACAAAAATTTAACAACAAAATGCTTGAAACCTCGCAAGTCATTTGCACAAACTGCACTTGTAAACACAGAGTTTTCACAGTCAATAAGCTGTGAATTGAAAAAGTGAACAAAATTCCTTAACTCACTCCAACATGGATCTCTTACGCCACAATATCTTGATAAAAAAATTTAATGTCATTTTAAAAACCAATATAAGTAAGAAACAATTTACAAATATAATCTTAAAATTAAATTATAAAAATTGTTATTATCATTATAAAATAAATATAACTAATTCTCAATTAACCACTAAAGCTATAAAATAAATATAAAAATACTTCAATAATATCTGTAAGCAATCACTTAGGGTCATATTTGGTTGAGAACTATTATACACAAAATTGTCCAAAGTTTGATGAATATAAGCTTCTGAAAGATATCTTCTAGAAACTTCTTTTTTTATGGGAGATATTGCTCTTCTACTCGGAGACAAAACTGTTCGGTGTTCGGAACTGTTCGGTGTTCGGTGTTGAGAAATTTGTGGTTGAACAATTTTTCCATCATATATATTCAAGTATTGACAAACCCGCTGAGTAGAACTTTTTAAATATTCTTTAGTATCATACCATAAATCTTGATAAATGAAAAAAAAAAGATATAAAATTAACAATAATGTATAAATGTAAAAAAATAATACTAATAAGAAATATTGGATAATAGCATTTAACTGTAAAAAAAAAAAGAAATAGTATTAAAAGATTTTAGTTTTTAGTGAGATCTTATGTAAAACTACCGGGAACAGTAAAAATAAATGTGAAATAAACACAACAGGTATAACAAATTACAAAGTGTAATTAATGTATTTATGCAAATTTACCAAAATTTATTTCACCTTGAGTCAAGGTAGTTTGATCAGACAGTGATTTTAAAACTTCACAAGGAGATAGACAGGTAACAAATGGTAACATATTAATAACAACACCTTCAGGAGATTTACTTGTGTCCTAACCAAAGTAATATTTATAGAAATAGAATTTAATATACAAACATTTCATTATGAGTCAAGTACATTAGAATTATTAGTTTATTGTACTATATTTACCTGTATTTACATAATTAATTGGAAAAAAAAAAAAAAAAATACTAATTTTTTAAATTAAATCCAAGTATTTTTTTTGCAATAATAATTATGTATGTATGCATACATACATACATACATACATACATACATACATACATACATACATACATACATACATACATACATACATACATACATACATACATAAAGTAAATGACTAGATTAATATATTTATTTTTAAAATATTATTCATATTCTTTCAAATTCGTATTTTATTGAGACTAAAAAGACTATACATACATTTATTCAAAGTTATATTTATGTTATTGTTATACAAATTAAATATATAAAAAATAAAACATTTAACATATTATTTAACATGACGTTTAACGTGTGCTAAAAAAATATTATTAACAATGATAATTACTCACGCTATGAAGATGTCCTTCAGTATGATCAATGGTGATCTCAATGATACATGTATCATTATCGTTCATCCTCCACAGTTTTCCAGTACTTGTTTTTAAAGATCCCAGAATCACCAAATTGAAAAGAAATGAATCTAATCCTTCTTTAACCTTGAGTAACATTTTATTATTACATAACATAAGATAACAAAAGTACTTACATATAATGTTTTTAGATATTAAACAAAAGAATAATGAAAGAAAAGATTGCTCCCCCAGCCTAACCCTTAGTTAATGTAGCGGCACTCCTACCAGCAGCAGGCTATAAGATAATCAATGTATTTACTGAAACCTCTGGCAGGCTATTTTAGTATGATGTCAGACTACTAATTTAAACATGCATTTATGTTATATATATATACACATATACATACATACATGTAATGATAATATATATATATATATATATATATATATATATATATATATATATATATATATATATATATATATATATATATATATATATATATATATATATATATATATATATTTATATATATACATGATTTGTTCTTTAAAATACCAAAATCAAAAGTGAATGATACTACATGTCAGTTGTACTGTACTGTTGTATTGAATGATACAACTTATTGGTTGTATTGGTACAAATGAAGATAGGAAAAGAAGTGTATGTCCCTGCTAAAACATTAAATGTTTGGATGAAGACAAGTCAATTATGCTCTGTAAATAAAATATAAGATTACCAGCGCAAGAAACAACATCTAACTACAATTCTGCTCATTAAAAAATTATTTCAGAAAAGACTGTAAAACGTTGCTTGAAAACTGTTGGGTTGAATGGTAGAGTAGCTATTTGAAAATCTCTTTAAAAAAAAAAAAAAACTAAAAAAAAAGGTTTCAATGGATTCTAGCACATGAAAATTGGAAAGAAATAGACTGATGAAACGTATTGTGGACAGTCAAGTCCAAATTTTTTTGGTTTTAGAACAAAGCAACCTATCTATATGCAATGAACAGCTATTGAAAAATTTAATCCACAGTGTATACATTGTGGAGTTTCAGTAAAGGTGTGGAGCTGTTTTGCTTCTTATGAAGTATGGAAATAAAAGAAACTCTCTATAAGAATGTATACCATAAATATAATGTAGAAATACTTTAATGTATGTAAAGTGTCTAATGTGGCATGGGTTTAACATTAACAGGATAATGACACATTCAAGCATATAAGCTTGAATGTGTCATATATATATATATATATATATATATATATAAAATATGCAACTCAAATATATATTTAGGATTTATTAACTTTGATTTAAAATAAGAAAAAAACTAGGATTAAAATAGTTAACTAAGTCTTGTCAGTTTCTTTATAATTAGCAATTCTTCTCTTTTTAATTAGCAATTCAATTTCTTTATAATTAACAATTAAAGTTAGTATAGTAAATGTAATAAGCAATATTTACCATCGGATTTATATCAAAATGATACAATCTTGGAAAACGTAAATTAGGAATTTCATCAAACTCTAACAATGCTTCTACAATACTGTTTACATTGACAGTTGTTCCGTGAACAGGTATTGTTACCATAGAAGCCTTTTTTTCAACCATTGGCATTCTTTGGTAATATGAATCTAACTGAATTGATAGCTGGTCACCACATTTTTCCACACAAAATGACTTTCCCATTCCACTTTTTTTTGATTGAACCACAAGAGCTTTGTATCTGAATTTCAAATATATGAAAATAAAGGTAGGCATTACAAGTAAATTCATATCTCATAAAACCCAAGCACTAAAAATTTTACATCATAAAACCAACTACACCTAGTAAATATTAGAGTTTTTTTTTAAAAAAAAAATTGCACTGACTTATTACCAAAGATTTCAAAAAATCATAAAAAGTTTAACCGATTTTATTTATTTTTAACTCAAATGTTGCAAAAAATGTTGCATGAAACCTTGAACATTTCAAAAAAAATTATAACAATAATTAACTTTTGCAAAAAACCTTGAAAATTCGAAAAAAATTACACCAAAATATAAATTTTTGTGTGTGCGCATCTGATAGAGAGGAATGAGTTCTACCAACAAAACTAAAAAGATTTCTGAATATACAACAATAAGTTTTTTTATATAATGATATTTTTTTTTTCCAAAACCCATTACTGATTTACTTGTATTAACTTAATCAACTATTTAAACAAATAAAGGAAAGAATAATGGTGGTGTGATAGAAAAAGAACTTAGCTTTTTGGAGTATTATAATAAAGTTGGATGTTTTTAAAAACATACTTATTTAATTTTTCTTCAAAAATAGAGGTCTGTGCCCCAAGTAATTTTTTGATGAGACCATTGATGAGGTCATGGTTAATGTGATTAGCAGTGTCTAGAGTTATTCTCAACCGAATTTATTTTAAAAAGTCAATAAACTTAAATTTTAAATATTTTTTTATTATTATATCAGTAAAATATTTTTTAACTTCATGAACATTATAAAAGATTATTAAAAACTTTATAAAAGATTATTTTGAAAATTAATACAGCTCTTAAAAGTTGTACTTACATTGATCCATTGAGATGAATACCTATGTTTTTATCGACCAGTTTTTTTTCTAAACCATCCAGTATTTTTTTGCATATATTTTCTCTCTTTATGCAAATTGGTATTTTTATTTTATAATTTTCAAGTGCTGTTGCAAAATATGATTCATTCTGGCTCTCTGAACTACAAAAAACTATTAGAGGACTCATATTTTCTAAAAAAAAAAAACACACAAAAAAAATCACTATATATTTATATAGAAAATAAAATTAATAAAGAAAATAATTAAAAAAACTTTTTTGGCAGTAATAAAACTCCTTTTTATATAGATACTGCCTGCTCAAACTCTATCACACTTTTATTTACCTAACTTCATGGTTTCCTGCAAAAAATTGTAAGCTTTTTCACAAACTTCATATTGTAAGCTGTCGTCAATAACTAAGCAGTAAAGACCATCTTTATTATGATAAGCACGTAAAATAAGGAGTTCAATCTGCAAAAAAATAAATAAAATAGAAAAAAAAAAAAAAATATATATATTTTCTAATTTCATCATATCAAAATGCTATGATAAAATAACAAAATAATTTTAAACATCTTTAAAATTCAAAATAATAATCAAAATAATTTTAAACATCTTTAAAACTCAAAATAATAATCAAAATAATTTTAAACATTTTTAAAACGCAAAATAGTCAAAACTAATCTTAGTAAAACATTACATCCGGACTCAAGTTTAATGTCTATGGCTTAACACTTGTTTGGTTTCATAGGTTTCTAAAATGGTATTTAATTACTTAAATATGAGATTATGGAAGAGTTTGTACAACCATGCCATTCCAGGTGTTAACCTAGTTTGCAGATTAGGACTGAGATGATTTCTTTTGACTAATGAAATTTTATCTAACATGACATTTTATCTAACTTTTTCTTTCATTTTACAAAAAACTCCGGCAAAAAGTAGTATATTCATTCTTAAAATATAAATCAAATTTATATTATTATTTATATTTCTTTAGTTGATTATATAAAGTAAGAAATTAAATAGCATAAATTCTATACAAAACAATTTCTAAAATTTTTAGAGAAGAAGCATCTAATACTGCAACATATAATTAATAAATTTCAAATGAAACTCTAACAAAAAAAATATTACTTCTTCAATAGAAACAGAGTTGTCACAAAGCAGAACTTCTTCTGATGATGGGAATGAACCGCTATCATAAAGATAAATATTTAGAAGTGCATAGAGGATTTCATCTAAAAAAAATTTAAATATTTTAATTTAATAAGCAAACAACATCATTAATTTTGTTTATGATGCTTGTTGATTTAAATTTTGATTTATTAAAGAAATTCAAGCTCATACTCATTAGGGACAAAATATATAACCTACAATACATCATCAAACACCTATACACTTAATATGTTTGCTACTGTATTACACATAGGTAAGCTGCAAGTAACCCTCCAACAATATGACTATACTATGCATCATAATCAACAAGAAAGTCAAAACTCTTCTTAACCAATGAGTATTGTACAAATATGTCAATTTGAATATATTTTTGGTGATGAGAAAAAAAAAAAAAAAAAAAATTTATACATATTACAGCATGATAAGTTGCTCATATCAGTTTATATTGTTGCTTTTTTAGTTTATTTCTTTGCAAAAATTGACCCATAGCACAGTGGGCCAGAGTTCACTTATACTGGATAAAACTAATAACTCATCATATAAAAAAGATTTAAGGACCATTTTTGCACAGTTTGCTAAATTAAGGACTGTGGTTTTAATTGTGATACTAGTTTTATTTTTGGGTTACTATGGATATCTAAATTGCTTATCAACCACATATTTTATTACCCATAACAAATAAAAACTGGACAAAAGTAATAACTTTATCGGATTACTCTCATAACCACATTGAATATTTTTATACTACAAATAGAGTGGCAACTATGGATATTTTTATTTGGTTGATAGTGACACCTGAAATACCTGGCAATGGTTCATTTTGCATAGTTACTAACTTAAGTTTCTTAAAACATCAGTTTTAAACTAGACCAATATTAATGTGGCAGTCTGATTGAAAATTATTTAATGCATTTAAAAGATTAAACACACAGTTACTAATTTTAGGTGTTTTTATATCTTTTTTATATTTCATGAAATTACTATATAATCCAAATAAAAAAAGAACCTAAATTTAAACCTTTTCATGTATATAATAATACAAAAGTTTTGGTTTAAAATTATTTTTCAAACTAAAACTCATATAGTCTGATAATTGTAAAACAGTTTTAGTTTCTTTTTCTTTACCATCTTGGCACAAACTACAACCTGATGCAAATAATAATTCTGAAAATGAAAAAGATGCAACTAATCTTTGTTTTTTTATTTGACTTTTTGAAGTATTAAAATTCACCTGGCAAAGTTATCTTTATCAACGGAAGCAGTTAGCTGAATATTCTTGTTATCAATTACAAATTGAAAAATTGTAGGTTTTTTTGTAGTCATTGTTTGTGATTCTCTCCGAAACAAATTTCAGAGCTTTTGCATATATGCCACCTTTGTCAAACATGTTTTATAAAATTAGACAAGTTATGCATTGTAGTTAAGTTTATGCCACTTACAACTGCATCCAAAAAATTAGGATTAGCTAACCTCAAGTTTTCTTGTACCATGTATGAATAAATATCAATATTTTTCATGTATATAAAACTATAGTCTCACTGAGACCCAATTATTACATAACAATTTAGAATAAAATATATGTAATGTTTTCGCAAAAAAAAATTGGATGCATCACTTGTAAAAATCATTATTAAAAACATGAGGACATCCATGGATTATTTACCAAATTTATGTTGATAATAATGTAGATTAGGGTAACATGAATATGAGTAAATAAAGCTTGGTAAGTTTAGATTTATAAGCAGTGAAGTTAAAGTTGCTTTGAATTTTTTAAATCAACTTTATGTGGTGATAACAGAAACCAGTATAATTAGCATAAACTTATATGCAGTAATTAGCAACTCTCATCTAATTAAAACACTATTAAATTCTTTGTGTTGTTAATAGATTATCATCTCACATGAATAGGTCTGTGGCCTGAAATTTTAATAATAAAATAATAAAATTTAATTTTTCATAAAGAAAAATATCTTACCTAGAAATCCATTTTGTTTTTATTTGAAAAAAAAAATGCATAGAAACATGTAGTTCTACTTTATTTAAAGATACTATTTTTGTGTAATATGAGCATGCTCAAACTAACTAGTGTTTTTCATTGAAATTACCTAGTTTAATGTCGCAAAACTGCATTGGTTTTAGTTTCTTTTTGAATAGAAACAAAGCATAGTAAAAATTTTTTAATATCTTAATAATACTAAAATATCTTAATAATACTAATACTTTTAATAATACTAAATATCTTTTTGTAATTTAAATTCAAAAAACTTGCAATTTCATTGTTTAAAAGTTTGAGTTAACAAAGTTGAAAAAATATCGAACTCATTTTTTTTTTTTGCGTAAAACAAAGTGGTATTGTTTCAATAAAAAGTGGCTTAAAATTTCATCTTTTAATGATAAGTTTTTTTAATAAAAAATCATTATATTCCACAAATTAGTTCTAATTGTCAGGATGATATACCACTTTGGACCGTTAAAGTATTTGATTATATAAATGAAACTTTAACTGAAAAAGTACTTCAAATACGCTGCCATTTAAAATCCTTTTATTTGATGTGACTTACATGCAAAATTGTGTTGCAATAGCTCATTTGAAATATAATACTTGATTTTATTAAGTTATGCAACAAAAAGTAAGGTTTTAAAATTAGCAACTATTTTATGCTTATTAGTAACGCAAAAAATATTATCAAATTAAAAAAAAATTATGGTGAAAAAAATGCTATTTATTCTACAGATTAGGTGCATACGGCATGATAATTATAGAAAAGTATATACATTTTATAAAAGCTGAATGTCTAAGCTATAAAATGGCATATAACAATGCAATTTTTGAAAATGTATTTTTTTTCATCCTTTTGTCAACCACCTGGCTTTCTGTGCATAGTGTTCAAGGTATTCAAGCATTTGCTTTGTATAGAAGAAGTACTTAAAAGTGCTCAAAGTTTGTGTTTCAAAGTTAAAGTGTTGAGGTTTTAAGCCTTCATCTTTGATGCACAAATCTTTTTTTTGTTGTTATTGTTGTAGTTGTTGTTACAACTCTCACGAGGATTGTAATAACAACAACAGCAAAGTTACTACAGAACTTTTTAAATTTGTACTATTATGAAACTATATAAATAATTATGTTATTATAAATAAATAAGGAATAAATATATTATGTAAACATGTTTGAAATTAAAAAATTAAAATCTTACCACGTGGCAAAATAAATAAACTTGGTTTGTCTTTATTTATATATTTTGGAATAATTCTTTTAGCTTGCTGAAACTTTATAATTTCTAAACAATAAAAAAATCATCATTTTATGTAACCAAGAAAAGTTTGTAAAATAAAATAAAAAAAGTTACAAGAAATAGTGTTAATTCATTTTCTAAATATTTAATTAATAATAGATAAATTTATTATGTGCATAATATGAATTTAAATTTGTTTACTCATAAATCAAAATCAAAAAGCAAAAAGTCAAAATCAAAAAGCAAAAAAGCATTATTAATAAAAAGGAAAAAAGTTTTTATTGGTATAGGTGTTCTTATTTATGTTGAAAGCACATAAAATCTTGAATGATGTTTGAAATTATTTGTCAAAATTTTTGCAAATTGAAATTTAAAGGAATTTAGTCCTAAAAATTCTGGGAAATAGCATTTTTCAACAAATCCCTAACATGTAGTAGATGTTTTATCACTAAATAAATTTCCAAAATGCCATACAGACCTCATTCTCATGATGAGAATTGTTATGCAGTCTGATGCATGTGTCTCAAAAAGTCTACTAGACCTGTCAGGGCCTATTCTAAAAAAAAATTTTTATCCTTAATTTTTAATTTGGGCCCAAATCGACACCCAAATACGGTCGACGCTGTCAAAAACTGTCTAGAATAGCCCTTTCCTGTTATAAGCTCTTTGAAGCAAAGAGTTCAGATTCTCTACCAAAAAAGAATTCATTTTGATGACCCTCATGTACCTAGAGGTTTGTGTTATCGTTTTGCACTCAGAAAAAAAGATAAAGGAAAAAAGGTCAACCTTGTAAATGCCTAATTTGTCAAATTAGTAAATTAATTTTTTTTTTTTTAAAGATTCAAAAACCTTGCTATGACAAGTCAGATCACTCTCCAGAATTTTCGAAAACAGGGATAAAAGATGCCACTTTCCAGCAGGTTGAAAAACAAGACTTCTGCAAGACTATAACTGGTTTGTTGTTTGGACCACAAGCTGTAGAAAATTCTAAGCAGGAAATCACTTTAGATACAGAAGCTGGAGTGATATGAACATCAGGCAATAGATTATCCTGTTTGTTGGATATATCAGGTAGAATGTGACTAATTGAATCAAGAGATGATATTGATGAGAAGTTCTTAGCAAAAAAATTCAGCTTTGCCTTTAGGTGAGCTGACAAAATCTGAACCATTTAAGAGAGATGGAATAACAGATTTGCCCTCATTATAAACACTGATGAAAGATTCTCCAGAAGTCACAAGAACCTAATTTTTGAGATAAAATACAAGATTTCGTGTTTGGCATTTGTGTGATTTGCCCAGCATGAGATTTCATGTTTGGCAGATTGAAGCTGAAAGAAAAACATGCTTTGGAGGATAACTAAAAGCTTTCTACTACACAAGTTGATAGAAAGATGTTCTACATGCCTCTCACTGATTGGAAAAGGGTTGCCATACAATTGTTCAATTGCAATATTCAGAGAAAATATGAGAGAGTTGTTAACAGGAGATTCAAATGTTGCTGAATAAATTAGTTGCTCTGCAATTAATAGTAAAGAAGCTCGTCCATATGTCCAACTGTAAGACGACATATGCAACAGTAGACATATCTTTGGCTTTTTGGATGATTTATCATTTTACCAGGTAAAAATCTTGCTGAAAAAAATAAGGCTTTCCAAGGTTTTGGCATCATTGAAACATTCAGTGCAGTTGTATCTGCATGCTTTGGAGTCATCACATAAAATACGCTGAAAAAACTGATAGCTTCTGGGCATCTTACCTAGTTCTTCAAAAAGGCAGTGTAATTCTAAAAATCCATACAGTATTTTCCACATCAAGGAATTCATTGAGCTCAATAAAACAACCTTTTAGCATCTTCAGTGAGCAAAGCATTGAGGCAAGTCATCACAAATTCAGTGTCTATTGGATGCAATATAAGACACCAATTACTCACCTGGATTATGATAAACTCTTACTCTCTTGTGTGCTTGATTTGAATATCAAACATGTATGAAACTTTGTTTTTTGAATATTTTTAGAATGTTACTTTTTTACCATGAACATCCTTAATTATGTAATTAGGCTGTTTACAAGAATCTTTTTTAAAGAATAAAAAAAGAAAAACTAAATTCTGCCTAGTATTTTAACTTACTGTGTTTGTCACTGTTAATATTTCAAGATATATTATTCCTCAAAGTTTAGTCGAAAGGGTTTTTTTGAATTATGTATGGATAATATTATTAAAAATTTATACCACCCATACCACCACCCATACCACCCATGCTGTATAAGTGCAAAATCCTGTGCAAAATCTCTTAATTCACGGCAAAGTTAAAACCAAAAACTCAATTTTCTATCTCAGGCATAATTCAACCATTTAAGTTTTTACATTTTTTGAATTCTGAGACCATGGGCTACCACCCATTATTTACAGTTTCTTTGGATAAGCACTTGACACTATACTCAAATCTTAGGTACCTGTGCATGCCTGTGAATAGCATTGAGTAATTTTAGAAAACTTTATTGAGTTTTTTGAGTGACCAGCATGCAGAGAGTGGTCAAAGTTTTTTATATTTTATCTTAAATTTTTGTTTTTTTAATTGCTTGAGTTAAGATTATAAGTATTTTTAAATCTGTTAATTATTTGACCCAATTAAGAAGTTCAAGATATTCAATATCACAATTAAGAAGATTCAAGGAAGTACTGCGCTTGACTTATTTCTCCATGCAGTGGCCTTGTTTAAAAAGATTCTTGTTCAGGAACAAAGAATTTTATTAAACAATACCTTTAAACTCTACAAAACTGATCAAGAATTTTATTAAACAATACCTTTAAACTCTACGAAACTCTACCTCTAAACTCTACAAAACAGTAAAAGTTTTGTAGAGTTTAGAGGTAGAGTTTAGGATATTGCAAGGGTTGAATTAACGCATCGCGATTTGCGATATCTGTTAAATTATCTGGTCTTCAAAGTTTCAGTTTATGGAAAACCACGAAATTTACGGAATAGGCGAATAAACTTTAATTTGTTAGCAGAC